TGGATTATGAACTAAGATCATTCGCTCACTTCTCTGTGCACAGTTGTGTAGGGCTCTACAGTCTTTTTAAAGATGTCTCTGCTGCATGAAAAGATTAGCAGTGAAACTATTTTATAACAGATTTTCTCATTAGGTCTCGTTAACTTGTAGTGAAAATGATTTTTGATGATGATCCCTTGGAGCCAACTTAAGTCCTCATGTGGGAACCACTGCTCAGTGAAAGAAATCTTTGTTGTAGTAATATCATTCATTCAGTGACAAAGCTGTAAAGACATGGGGCTTAATACTGTGGATAGACATTACTGGGTCACATATTCATACAATATATAAGTTTGGCCCTTTTATAGGTTTTCCAGCAAACATTAAAACAAAATAAAGTAGAGGATATCATTTGTACCAGTGAGTGAAGACATTAAACCTTTCAGCTCATAGACAAAGTGTACTGTTAGCCTCGCCTCAGTCTCACACTGAGCCAAGTTGCCACTTCAACACTGTGATTCATCATGATGTGCTGTTTAACTTGAAGAAACATCTTTGCCTGAAGCTGAGGTAATCAGTAAAGCAGGTGGGACAGTGACATTGTCAGGTCTCAAATCTTACCATAGAACTCCCAAGTTAAATTCAGTCAAAGTATTTGAGTATTAAAGGAGACATATTATGCTCATTTTCAGGTTCATACCTTTATTTTGTGTGTCTACAGAAATAGGTTTACATGTTAACCACATTATGTTTCTCATACTGCCCATAGCTGCAGCACCTCTTTTCACCCACTGTCTGAAACGCTCTGTTTGAGACTCCAGTCTACTCTGATTGGTCAGCTACCATCGGAGCAGGCATCGCCCTCCATCAACCCTGCTGGTGTTTTTACTGGCAGTGAATCACTGTAACTGGGTTTAGAGCGGGAGTCTGAGCCGTAAATCAAGAAATCAACAATATTGACAAGTATTTTCCTCAGGTAAATACTGTGTGATAATTGCATTACGTACTTTCAGCAAACATAATGCCACTTTACATTTTTAACAATAAAGCAAAATAATAATCAGAATGGTGGCGCCCCAGTAGTTTCCCTGGTAGAGCACTTCTCCTATGTAGGGTTGAGTCCTTACTGCTGTGGGCCGGATTCAATTCCACCTTGGGCTCATTACCCCTCCTGTCCCTCTTCCGCTCTTCCAATTAAGGCATAAAGCTTCCAATAAAGGCAAAAAGCCCAAGAAAATAATCTTTTAAAAAGAATACTAAATAAATAAATAAAAATAAACCATTATTAATAATACAATTGGCTGAATGATTTATTTTCCCTATGCCAGCTTTGCACAGCCAGGCACAGGGTCCAAACAACCAAGCAGACTCTGGTTTAATTGTACAAGTCTACTTTAGTCCTTTATCAGTTTTAGGATATACAGTAACATGGACAGACTGATACAGCACACAACTATGTTGCATTTCAAAGTATTTCTTGTGTGGGTACACTGTGTTTTTCCCCTCTCATCTCTCACAACTCTCTCTCCTACACTTTCTCCCCATGAGTGTGGGCTTGTGAGAGAATGATGAGCAGAAGCACATTATCATGATTGTTAATCTGTGTTTGGAAGGATATCAACTCCTTTCAAGCCCAAAGACTAAAGCCAAGTTAGTTGTTGGTGTTTACATGACAGTACAGTTCCAAGAGTTTAATTGATTCATTTATTTTTTGGGATTTGGCAAGTCAAATGAGACTCAAGACGTCTACAGCTGTGATATATTTTTTAAAAACTACATATAGGCTTAGCACTACAACAAGACAATACAAAGGGTTTGTAAGATGGTGTGGGAATTTGTTTAGACTGCAGAACTAAAAGACATTTAAAGCTAGCTAAGAGTCTACAGCCATGCTATTGGCTCTGTGAGCTCTACTTAGCACCAGTAGTCCTTTGAGCTAAATGCTGATGCCAACGTGACAGTGACACAATCGCAACAAGATGTTTAGCAGGTTTAATGTTAACCATGTTCAGCATCTTAATTCATAGGTTTTTGCGCATAAACCAAAGTACTCCATCATCAGATCAAATTCAAATATTGATCTGATGACGGCGCTACATGAAAAATTAAGGGATCACCAAAGATATTACAGTTCATTCTTAAGGGGGCATAAATGTCTATACCAGATACCTTGGCAATCCCTCAATCTTTTGTCGAGACAATTTATTTAAAACTACAAATATTATGAACCTTGTCTCCCCTAGTTGAAAAGTAAGGGTTATCTCTCTTTGCTGCGCCAATCATTCTGGTAGAGTTGAGATATTTCACTGGATAAGCTGGGAAAACTTTTCTCAATATAACAGGTAAAGATCTTTTACATGAATTGGTGTTTTTTTCAACAAATAAATGCATGAGTTTGCCTGTTCCTCCATTGATAAAAAGTTGTTGTTATTTTTTTGCTGTTAAAGTTAAGATAAACTGAATGCAGAATTTTTTACTTATAATCTTGACAGTGTGTTACACCAGGGGCCTGCGACCTTTAAACTATGAGTGCTAGAGTACTTGCAAAATGGTGTCCAGAGCTACCTCTTTTTTCCCTCTTGATTTTAGAAGAGACATACTTGATGACATTACATACTCACCCTTCAAAAACACTTTCCTCTCTTCTCAATAAAAGGTAAACAGCAGCCATGGGAAGGTCATCACAAACTTAATCAGTTTATATATATATATACTTTTAAATATGTTCACATGAACGTAATTCTCACTGCATACTGTCTCCCTTCTTTCCCCTAATATTTAAAATAAACATAGATATTTCTCTATGGTCAAGAAGAAACACAATGATCAGCAAAATGAAAATAAATAAGCCTGTGTGGACATATATTGTATTTACAATGATAATAATAATAATAATAATGTGTTAATAATATATTAACAATGTAATAAATATTCAATACAGATCTGAAATGTGCTGCAGTGAGTGCTGCATGTCACACAAGCTACTATAACTGCATCTTGCACTACAAGATAGATATCTTGGACATCTGAAACAGTTTAATTCAGATGTTCATGTGTTGGCTGGTAAACACTTTATAAACCATTTTATAAAGGAAAGTTTGGTTTACTCGTCAAACAGTTGGTTCAAACAAAGGTCCTGCCTCTATTGGCACAATCAGTTTTTAGGTGTGGCCACTCAACTAGCTGGTTGGCTTTAAACAAACCAGCTAGTTGAGTTTGAAGGGTCACCAAATGCACAGCTTGCGTTATATTGATGCCAGATTGTTAAACTCTGGAAACGTGGTAATTTGCATTAGAATTTTAATTATCCTTTGTAATCACTTTATCATGCATAATATTTTAAATACAGAAGCAGCCACCCACCTCAACTGCGTAGAAAGATGGCCACAAAATGTCCAAATGTGTGTTTGAGTTGTGACCATCTGAAGCAGAGGTCAAAGTGCTTGCTTGGGGATCACCAAGTCATTTCCAATATCACGACAAGTTGAATTATTAAGGAGGCTACTGCAAGAGATGAATACTGCCACTCCTTATATTCCCTTACCATTCGAAGAGTGCACAGATGGTCCTTTTCATCAGTTGAGGTGGCCACAGAAGGAGCTTATATGTGTCTATATGTGGGTGTGAGATAAACTAATGCATGTCTCAGCCACAAGGATGTAATTGGCCTATTTGTGCTCCCTGCCCTTTACTCATAGTGAAATTTCCTCTTCCAGTGGCCCCCTGCTGCTGTGCTGTCCCACTTACAAATTCCTGCTGGACTCCTGTCAGCAATCCAACTAAATAATCAGTTATCAAATCTCTGATGGTAAGAACGTACATCTGTGCTGTGGCGGCACACCGGTGAGAGGAATCTCTTCATCTGTCACTGTTAGTCATCACCGGATCAAGAGAGCCGCGTCTTTGATTAGAAAAAATCAATGTGTACACTGCGGAGGCTTTTCTCTGTGGGCTCATAGTGTATTGAAAAGAAGTATATCTGACAAAGACATCTACAGCAGCAAAATATATCCCCGCCTGGACCTCTTTTGTTGCACTCTATCACATAACACAGCCAGAAAGAACTGTTGGAAAGTCAAAAGCAGGCATCTGCCTTAACCAATCTCAAGTAAACATAACTCTTAAGTCAAGGTTTTTTAAGTGTCTCTGGTTATTCTCCTTTTCTTTGTGTCATCAAAACATGACATGTTGGCATCACTAGGGAAAAGAAAAAAGATGTATGGCATCAGTAAACACACCTCAAGCAAATGCAACTGTCTCAATAGATGGCCAGCCTTGGCATTGAGCTCTGCTGACGTATAAAAGCTAAAGGAGACTGGCAGCCAAGCACGGAGAGGGTGCAGAGAAAGAGAACTCTCTGTGTGAAAGACATTACATGGAAAAAAAATTGACAGCAGGTGAGGGTCAGGGGTGTTTAAAAGAGAAAGAGAGGAGGATGGTAAGATAAAGGGAGGCGGGGTTGGGGATGATATGCTCCTGGGAAACAGGGCAGGGAGGACATGAAGATTATCCAGAGGGTTCCTATGACTCACTGACACCTCTACAAGACTGGACTTTGACAGGCATCTACACACACAAACACTGTAACACAGCTCACATGCAAATAACTGATCTGCAAAAACACACACAGCAGGGCTCATGTATATTGTATATATACTGGTAGGAAAATCTAACAAATACATTCTCTCTCACACACACAAACACACACAGACAAAAAAGTTCAGTTTTTCATGGGAAAAGAAGTGAAGGAAAGACAGAAAACTGGAACAGGGAGAAAAGAAAATAAGTGGGAGGGAAAAAGAGAATGCAAAGAGAGAGTGTTCGTGAGAGAGAGAGGGGGGGAGAGGGAGGGAGGGAGATCGAGAGAGAGAGAGAGAGAGAGAGAGAGAGAGAGAGAGAGAGAGAGGGGGAGAGAGATCGAGAGAGAGGGAGATGAGATGAGGAGGCGGAGAGATGAGAGGCGAGGGAGGGAGTAATGTAGACAGGGAGGGTGGAGAAGAGAGGGATAAGCCACACTTGGATGAAGGATTCTAGTGGAGCGTGGAGGGACTCTCAAGTGTTGGATCAAGTCAACTACAGGACTGTGGTCCTTCATACTGACACTCATACCGGACAGAAGGGCAACTGAAAGAGAAGTAAATGGGACGAGGAGGAACACCAGGCCCAGGGCTGACATGGACCGACATGACCTCTCCATCTGGCTGTTTAACCTAATCTGATGCTCCTGAAGACTTGCTGTTTCAGGACAGATGACTGACCACTGGGACTGAAATCCGGCAGAAGTTGGAGGGAGTTCACTCATAAAGTTGGATACCACTAAGGGCACTATGGATATATACAAATGTTTAAGCTTACTTTTCTTCACTCTTACTCCACAAGGTATACCATTTCCCTTCCTGTCAGTTAGTTGCTTTATCTCACGTTTTTTTTTATCAACATAAGGGGTGTGTGTGTGTGTGTGTGTGTGTGTGTGTGTGTGTGTGTGTGTGGGGGGGGTATGTATTTTTCCATTTTTGCTCATAAAAGTGTAGTCTGCAGGGGACAGAGAGAGAGAGAAGATGAGATGTGTTAACTTTCACTGACATTTTAGTGATTATTTCAATTAATTTTGGGGTGAAAATATTGTGCTTCTAAAATCAATCACAACTAACGAAGTTGATGTCCAGGCCTGGTTAACTCATTCAGTGTCTGTAAGAAGTTTAACCATTACTTTATTTTCTGTATTTTGTCATGTTTGTCGTGGATATATTATTTTGAGGGGTGGGTATTGAGGGCAGATTCTTTCCTGGTCCATTTTTTTTAAAGGCAGAGGGTCTTGCTTTTTTTAATTAAAAGATTCAGCCCCCCTCCACACCCCAATCATTTTTGTACAATCCCTAATAATGCCCCAGTCGTATTATTCGTTAGAAAGGCAAGGCTTTTTTTCCCTGAGGGATAGTCTGGCAAGATAAGTAACATAATCACAGACAAAAACACAACCTTCTGTACACACAGAATGTTATTGTTTGTTAAAGTTCTCATTGGTTAAGGAGGTAGAAACTCCCTCCGTTGCTTAGTGACCTCGTAACAAGCTTTATGTGCCTGGTTCAGGAGCAGGACTCACTTGTATAAAAAGTGGTATTTGCTGCTCTTGCGTTATTGGCCTATGAGAATAGATTGATCAAATGAGGACAGAACTGGGTCCAGTAGCTTTGACACATCTAGATAACGAAGCAGTACCAGATTTTATGGGTTCACATAATTCATCTTGTTTCATTTTAACTGTCTGCACAGAGCATATTGGTAGACCAACAGTGAAAAACATCCAGGAGAATGTCTAGATTTAAAGGAGGAGGAACTGGATATTCTCACAAAAAATGGAGAAAAGAAAGTTGAGTAATTATCTGGCAGTCAACTGGAATAAAAAGTTTCACTATGAAAATTGAATTTTCTCCATCCTAAGTGACTGGTAACATTACAGTCTGTACCGGTGCTATTCTTAGTGTCCTGTAAGGCACACCGTACAGAAGTAAACTCATCCAACAGATACCCATTTTCTCCTGCACAAATTACTGCTATGACCCACACATTGTCAAAGTCAGGACACCCTACGAGCTCCCCCATCTAAACCCATTAGTTGCAACGCTGCTTTGGAATCCACTGGAGCATTCCTCTTTATCTAATATCCGCTGCATTCAACAGATATCGCTTTGAGGTGATGTGATCAAACAATGGTACCTGTGTCCATTTCACTCATCTGAAAACGCAGAGACAGTTCAAGGTTGTTGGGCGTCTGGACATGTCAAACAGATTCAGGTGTAAACAGGAAGAGAAGACATGGGGGGAAAAAAAGAAACTATATCCATTTAATAAGATATTGATCCTGAGCCTTTAAAAATTGAGGATGCCAGTTTTCAGGCAACTGAAGGACAGCCCATCAGCTTTGATTGAGTGGGTAGGAGGACCCGAAAGGAAGGCCAGCAGCATGACAACTACACCTGTGTCCTTGTTTAAAGAATGCAAGTTAGAACAGCAGAGCATCTTTCCTGTGCAATCACAATACAACAGTTATAATGAGGTAATAAAAAACAACCCCCAGCTCTCGCACAATTAATTTAATTTTGTACAATTACCAATAAACAATATATACAATATAATACTCCAGACACAAGAAAGACATTGAAATATGCACTAGTGCCAGGCATAATGAAATATGAAGTGAGGGTACAAAATCACAGCATGTGATGTATTGCTGTGCCAGTTTTTATTCACCTGCACAGATGCACAATGTCCAGAATAGAAAAATGCCTGATTGAATATGAAAGAAGGATTGGAACACAAAAGGACATTGTCTTGCACGAGCCTGTGGACGTTCCCCGTCTCTTTAATTGTTCCCAGACCTCGTTAGGTCATCCTCAGTGCTATGTGAGCTGATTGTAAAGGGGTGTGTGTGTGTGTGTGTGTGTGTGTGTGTGTGTGTGTGTGTGTGTGTGTGTGTGTGTGTGTGTGTTTGGTGTGTGTGTGTGTGATTGAGTTGCTCCATTAGAGCGGCTGCGGCAGAGAGACACAGAGGTAGAGAGGGGGCGAGAGAGGGGACAAGGGGGTGAGGGAGGGATGAGACGTCTCGACAGATCGCTCCATCAGCACGTCTGTTTGGAGACACAACGGATGTACTCAGATTCCTTCCTCTTTTCCATTCTCTCATCTCCTGCCCCCCCCCCCCCCCCCCCCACCCCCCACCAACCTCTCCCCTCTCTCTCTCCGTTTGCTTCATCTCTCAGATACAGTCTCATGTAACCAAACGCCACCTGTATAATAGAGGTCACTCTCCTTTTAGATTACACTCTGTATCTACAGCAGTGGATTCTTTATGGTGGCATGGAATTAGCAAAATCCATTATAGATGAATGCATTGTAGACTGTAGAAAATATATTTGATATTAATATCATGCATTTGAAATCATAGTCTTCATTTCCTACATAAATGTGCAAAATGAGAAACAATTCAAACTGTATAAAGTATAAAGATGTCACTGGCATAGTCTGCACAAAATAAGCCCAAAGAAGTTGCAATATTAACAGATGTATGCACATCTATATGTTGTTTTAAGGAAAGATAAATTAATGTATTATTGTATTGTTTTAAACTACTAAAAAGACATTAAATGATGCATGTGGGTTATAAAAGGCCACATAATTAGTCTAACCTTTCCTCATGTGTCTAATCTTTTCTTTTCTCCTCTCAGTTTGTTCCCAAGTTGGACCTCGTGCCCATGCTGAAGAGAGGCTGCTCCAGGATCTGTTTGTACATTACAACAAGCTCTCTCGGCCTGTAGAAAACACTACAGACACAGTGCTAGTTCACTTTGGGCTGTCTATTGCCCAGCTTATTGATGTGGTGAGTAAAATCTAACCGTTTTTTTGTCTGCCACAGCATGCATATCTGCTCTGTAAATCACTTGTCCTGTGTTCTCACTTGAGGAAAAAACAAAAAAAACAAAAGGGAGAAATTATTATTTTATATATATTATATACATTTTCAATTGTTCTCTTTCTGTCTTATGTATTGTATTCATTATGATCATATCAACCAGCTCAAAGCTACACTAGGAAAGAGAGATACATTTAAATATACAGATCACTTATCAGCGGAAATGAAACCACAACAGAAGAGATTTAATTATTTTGCCCACATTAAATTCAGTTGTCAAGTATGCTAACACTGACAGTAAATATTCAAAACTGTCTCCTAAACAGCAACCCAGATGCAGCTGGTCTCAACAAAATAACATCTTTATTCTCTTTTGTCCCTGTGGCATCTCCTCTGGAGTTTTAAACAAATGTGCATTTTACATAAATTATGTTGCAGGGTTTCTGTTGACTAAGATAAAAAATATTTTACAACACCTTTAACTGCCATTTGGAGCCATGCAAAGTTGCCTGGTGTAGCTTCAAGACTGAATAAGGGCAGCCTGCAGGGACAATTCACCAGGATTTTGACACACAATTAGGTGACAGTGTTTGCTCCACATGCCTGGTATTGAGAGTCAGCTATGGGTGAAGTTGTCTTCTCCTTCAGAGTGTTTTCGTTGACTGCTGTGTCTTAGAAGTTGCTGGGAAAGAGTTGGAGAAAGCAGCATGCCAGCAGTGCTAGTGAAGCAGCAGATACTGTACAGTGAGGGTGTTTTTGCATGAAGCACTGCCTAATTTTGTTTCCTGATGTATTACACAAAAAAATCTGTCTTCATAAATATAGGGTATGTACTGTATGTTGATTTGTTCTATAACTGATTTATGAGTGCTTTGAAAATTGAATGACTAGAAAATTAGAAGAAGATCAAAGAAATAGTTAACTAACATGCAATTCATTTGAAAGAAGATGAATGTCAGTAATTGTCTCCTCTGTTTACATGACATAAGGATGAGAAGAACCAGATGATGACCACAAATGTCTGGGTCAAGCAAGTATGTGATAATGAGAGACAAAACACAAGCTGCCAAAGATACAAACTTAAATAAAGCTACTGAATATGAATATTATTAATAATCCTATGATCCTATATAATCCTCCTACAGGAATGGAACGATTACAAACTCCGCTGGAACCCAGAGGAATACGAAAATGTCACCTCCATCCGTATTCCCTCAGAGATCATCTGGAGGCCTGACATTGTCCTCTACAACAAGTGAGGATCTATATCAGTAGCTTGTATGTTTTGTGAATAAACTGTAAGAGATCCTGGGATTTTAAATGTTGCCATTTTCAAGGCAAAAATAATCTCATATAGTAAGTAATGTTCAGATATTTCTGATTCAAGTCCAACAGATGGTATGACTGGAGGGAAAACATGGAGATTCTGCTGTTGTGCCAAACATCGTGTCCTGTGCCAATGTCATAAAGTAATTTAGATAAAATAAATGTGAACAAGGTCAACCTTAATGGATGTGGATACAAACAAAGCTTGGTACATTGTACAATGCAATACATTAGGCTGGGAATTAGAAGATGAAATGTAATTGGCTGTCTTTCAATCGGGCCTCAGATAGTATGCATCTGCCAGAGTTTGTGTGCCTCAGGTGGAACTGTATTTATTTGACTAAATAAGGGAAATCAGCTATATATAAAACTGTATTAGAAAAGGGCTAAATACAACTGTCAACTTCACATGTCAGTATACAAACATGATTATACTTTCACATGAAGAAATATATGAGGCTGTTATTTATTGGTGAGAAGTCCTTTACAGATGCTGACTCAAACAACAAAATGACATCAAATGAATAAAATTGCGTTCAAAGAGAAAAACAAAGATCAGAGAGGTTTTTTGATCCTAAAGTGTTTTGTGATTTACATGCTCAGCTTTCTTCGCCTTTGGAAAAAAGAGCAGCAGAGTTCTGAATGAGCTGTAGATGTGTGATTTCTGAACGTATACTAGAAATATAGACTAGATTTTTGGACATGAATTCTCTAATTATATTAATTGTTGTGTTGGTAAAAGGTTGACTTTGTTATTGTCTTGATGAAAATGTATGTCTAAATCTACACCAAAATATCAGATTTAATTGTCAGGTCAGTGGTCTTTACTGGGTCAAAACACAGGCTTACATTCTCTGCCAAGGAAAAATGTTCAGGCAGATGTTCAGAACAGAATGAAGGCAACATAGCCAATGTTGCACAGAGTGACTGACAGCTAATCTCTATATGTACTGAAGCTAATTGCAACAAGGTGGGCAGATGACTGGGTCAGACATGAGAGGATTACAACAAAGATTAATCAGATTATAGAGGCAGGAGATGAAAGAGAGGAGGAAGGGGCAGCTGCCATCATGACATTTTTCAGTGACAGCAAGAGCACTAACTTCAAATGTCCCTTTCATTTGATTGTATTTTCCTGTAGGAAATGTTGGCACATCCAATCTTTCATTTGCCTGGTGATACATATAAATGTAAGTGTAATCAGTATACATATATTAACAAATAACTCCCTCCACTGAAGACGACCTTGAGATGACGTTGAAAACTCCAAGAAAAAATTTGATTCATGGTCAACTTGAATTAAATTTTTGTCATCTCAAAAGTATTACTTGAGGAATTTAGTCAGAATTAAATTCTTGAAGTGCAACTTTTGATGAAGGCAAAAATGTAAACTTTATATATTTTTTAAATGTTACCACTTTTATTCTCTCTTATATCTTCTTTATGTGCAGTGCTGATGGCGACTTTGCGGTAACTCACCTCACGAAGGCACATCTCTTCTATGATGGTCGGATAAAGTGGATGCCACCAGCTATTTACAAGTCTTCATGCAGCATAGATGTCACCTTTTTCCCTTTTGACCAGCAAAGCTGCAAGATGAAGTTTGGCTCATGGACCTATGATCGCGCCAAGATCGATCTGATCAGCATGGCCAGCGATGTGGACCAGATGGACTACTGGGAGAGTGGAGAGTGGATCATTGTCAATGCAGTGGGCAAGTACAATACCAAAAAGTACGAGTGCTGCACAGAGATCTACGCAGACATCACTTACTATTTCATCATCCGGAGACTTCCGTTGTTCTACACCATTAACCTTATCATCCCCTGTCTTCTTATCTCCTGTTTGACTGTGCTGGTGTTTTACCTGCCATCACAATGTGGAGAGAAGATCACCTTGTGTATCTCAGTGTTATTGTCCCTGACAGTGTTCCTCCTGCTTATCACAGAGATTATACCGTCCACATCACTGGTGATTCCACTGATTGGTGAATACCTGCTGTTCACCATGGTCTTTGTCACACTCTCCATCATAATTACTGTCTTTGTGCTAAATGTACATCACCGATCACCACAAACCCATGGAATGCCTCACTGGGTGCGGAGAGTATTCTTGGACTTGGTGCCCCGAGTCCTCTTCATGAAGCGTCCACCAGGCACAGCCAAGCAGAACTGCAAGAAGCTTATTGAGATGATGCACCGTCCTACCACCATATCTGCAACAGGCAACTCGCAGGCTTTTTGGACAGGGTTAGAAACAGGGTTAAGACAGATGGGCCAGGTAGAGAATACACTCCCAAAGTCTCCGTCTGACAGTCCAAGCATCCTTGTCTGCTCACCCTCTCCACCCTCGTCCTCTCTTAAGGACTGCAATGAGGAAAATCACTCACTGAAGGCCAACATTTTCTGCCGGCCGACATCTGGTCAGTATTCAGTTCTCTCAGAGAAACAACCCCTACGTGGACACAATTCTGCTGCCTCATCTTCTTCCCAATTGTCCTTACCGCCAACTTTGCCACTCGGCCCACTTCGCAGCCTATCCAGGGAAGAACCCAATACACTGGCCCCAAATGGCCGCTCCGTCAGTGTAGAGCAAATGTTTGACCAACAGAGGGAGCTTCCTCAGACAGCTGGGCATCGGTGTCGTTCCCGTAGCTTCCAGTACTGCTGTCTGCATGATGAAGGGCCTGGGGTCATTGGGATTGCAGGGTGGGTAAAGAAACAAGCCCTTACAGATCAACTAGCAGAAACCCTCACAGCAGAGTCCAATAAAGATGCGAGTACCCAACAGGACCGCGTGGCTCCGACTATTTCCCCAGCTATGCAACGGGCCATAGAGGGAGTTCAGTACATTGCTGATCATCTCAGGGCAGAGGATGATGATTTTTCAGTAAGTTTCCATAAATTATCTTTTTCTAAGTAACTAATAAAGTCGTGGCAATGACACAGTTTCTAAATGTTTATGTCGTGATGATGCAGTGCTCATATTTAAAAAAAGTCACAGAGCTCCTTGCAACTTAAAGTTTTCCTGTAAACCAATGTATAGACTCGAGACGCTTCTGGGCATCAATCTTTGGGCAGTGGGTGTGTAGTCCCTAGCCAGGGGGTAACAGGGTGTAGCAGGGTGTGAGGGCGGGGTGTGTAAAAATGCAGTAACCAGGTTACATTGCTATCTCCATCTCTCTCCTCTGCACTTTGTCTATGTCATGGATGCATAAAGAGCTGCAGGTCTGTATGTTTGTTTGACTGAGGGTGGGTTACGGTGACATTGGCTGCATTCACACACAAAATCCATCAATGTGGCTCTTTCCCGCAGGGTTCTGCGGAGGTGTGGCTGTGTTTATGTGTGCATCAGAAAGTAACTGCCATGAAATAATCAGAAAATAACGTTTATTTCTCTGATTCACTGCTCTTTTCTTGCTAAAGCCACACCCCCTTTTCATGCACTCTCTAGCTTGCTCGACCACCGCTGTTCTCTCTCTCTCTCTCTTGCTCGATGGGAGGTGGGGCCAACTGTGAATGGTTTGTTGACAAACAGCAAGCAACAAATCCTGCAAAATATGGCTTTTCATTCTTAAATGAGTTTGGCAGAGTCCATTTCACATTTTTGGATACAAGTAGCATCCCATTAGCACAAGCAATAGTCACCTATTATTTGAAATTTGAGCTACTGTTAGTATGTGGGGAAAAAATTTAATATTTGATTTTGATCTGTTGAAGTTCAAAATTCTCAGTGTATAATGTCATTCTTGTAATCCAAGGATGTTCCTTCAGCCCACTGTATGTCTGCCAAATTGTTGTCAAACTTACTTACATAACATAATTAAAAGTTTTCCAAAGCAAATGACAATCAGACAACTGACAGTTTACTGATACCTTTACTTTACCTCATGTTACCTGTTCATGTGTCATACTGCTGGTCTTCAGTTTTGACAGTTAAACTTTTTTACAAGACTCTTCCTTATTGCTTTGAAATATACCAGTGAAAATGTGTTTTAATTAGGAAACTGCTAAGCAGCAAAAAGCTTTTCAGTATACAGTACTGATTCAGTGTTAATTACTGAGTTGCTGGGAAACAATGAAGGGTGCTTTGTGGAATGGAAGAAGTTCAAAAATGTGTCCCATTATTCTAATATCAGTGGTGGAAGCCATTGTATTTATCGAAACCAATCATTGTCAATACAACAATGCACTTTCTATCTCTAGCCAGAAAAGGCCTGTCTTTGAAACAATGGGGCCTCAGTAATTTGACCTTGAATTTTTCATAAGAGAGACAAGCAAGGATTGACTGACATTTAGGAGATAGCTGCCTCATAATGAAAAAATCAGCCATTCGAGAGAAATCAATCAAGGGTGAAAACTGACAGCTGGTAAAAAGGTGGTGTGGTGTGAAATTCAAAATGTCCCTCTGTGCTCTTTCTCTTCTCTTCTAGGTAAAGGAAGACTGGAAATATGTGGCCATGGTCATTGACAGGATATTCCTCTGGATGTTTGTACTGGTGTGTATACTGGGATCCGTGGGACTCTTTCTTCCTCCTTGGCTGGCTGGAATGATCTAGAAACTCACCACTGAAGGGAAGGGAGTGACAGGACGACATGCTGTCTTATACTGTAAAAAAAAAAAAGGGGGGTTTATCATTTATCTTTTTATTTTCTATTTTTCAAAGGAACTACAAGTCACGTTCCTTGCTCCTGCCCCGGGTTATCAAAAGGTTACCCACGTAAAAACAAGATTAAATATCTATCATTGATTCCAGTGGGAATATAAATTCTTTATGAGGGCAAAGGGCCAACCAAAATATCCTTCCGCACCACTCCATTTTGATATTGACCTCTATAGCTCAAGCTGTCACCTTGCTAAAATACAGAGAAGAATGGACTTTGACCCATCTATAAATGCAGAAAACCACAGAAAGAGATAAGATATTGATAAGACTGTAAAAGATATGTATAAGACTGGAAAAGGTTTGGTTTAAATCTAAATTCTAACATTCCCTATTACAATGTCAATGTTATAGTGACAATAGCACAGTGCAGTGCCCTCACCAAATATTCATATAATATTCATGTTTCTGTGCAACCTGATTTGACAGAATTCAGTGCTTGGAAGGAGTTGTGTGTGTGTGTGTGTTCAGGTGTTTTGCAGTGGTCACTGCTTAGGTTAGCACACATACTGATCTGTGATTTTCTAATCCTAGCAGTTAAATAAACAAATGTATTCAATACATCTTACAGGCATCCTCTTACTACAGCAGAGTTAACTGGGAGGGATTTAAAGTCACTCTCTCCAGTGATTCATAGCCCTTCCTCCCCTCAAGCCCAGTCAACAAATTAGGCAAGGGAATATTTTATTTGTTCTATTGCTTCATAAAGAAGTGGGTTGATTGGCCCCATTTTCTATTTCTTTATTAAGTGTGATTTTCAAACTCCAAATCCTTCATTTTAGGCATTGATATTCAAAGTTAAAGATAAATATTAATAAATAACTGCCATATAAATCTTTCAGATATTTGTAATATTAACTTAAATAAAGAAAATCTAATAAAGCTTCTACACTGCATTTCACATTGTGTACAATAAAATTAGATCTGACAGGAAATGGCTTTTACAGTGCATTACAAAGAAGAGAGCTGCTGTTGATGCACAAAATGAGTTGAAGGTTTGTGGTAGTGGTGGATAGTGGAAGGAGTGAAAGGCTAATAATGAACTGACTTATGAATGTTCATCCTCTTCAACAGAACAAAAGAGAAACACATGCTAGCGAGCAAAGAAGCAGCAGTTTATGAGTGTAAGACATTAATCACCAAGGTAACAGTTTAACATTACCATAATTTAAATTCACAAAAAAAAACCAAAAAACTGTTAAAGCTATTAAGCAACGGTTAATTGTGTTGCAAGATATTGAAAACATTTGGCAGAGGACATTGAGCTGCATATAGTGGGAAATACTGTATGTGAGGTATGAAAGAATGTTTGTCCAGGAAGCTGACCTGGCATGCTCTCTTTTGTTAGCCATGCCAGCAGCGTGGCTCAAGAGATGGCACTGTTCGGGTCTGTAAGTTCACCACTTTGGTCCAGACTAAAAAAATCCATGCCATGAAATGCACATTCACAGTTCCCAGAGAATGAATCCTGATGACTTTGGTACTCCCCTGACTATTCCTCGAGGACCAAAATCAGGTTTTACATTTGTGGTTTTGAGGGATATATTGTGACACAAATTCTATGACAATCTATATAAGAATTTGGTACCGACATTCATGTTCCCCTTGGGATGAATTGTAATAGCTTTGGTGATCAACTTTTCATTTAGCACCATCATCTGGCCAAAATTTGACCAATACTTTGGTTTATGACCACATACCTGCCAGACGAATCATATTCTCATCAGTCTCCACTGTACTTTGTGTACTTTTCATACTAATTAGAAAATGTTAGCATGCTAACACACTAAACTAAGATCACGAACATACATATAGATGCACAACATACACCTGCTCACCATGACAAGTGTTTCCCATGGTTTGCATGCTGAGCATTTTATGTCAAAGCACCTCTGTGCAGACTCACAGAACCACCACTGTCACGTGGCAGCAGTGGTGTTCTCTAAGTTATTTTGAATTGGCGGCAGCAGGGTCCTGGCTACTCCAATTCAACCAGCCTGTAAAGCACAGGTTGCTGCTATCCACTCTGCACTTCATAGCCTATGATCTATACGCAGGTAAACCAAGTGGCAACCTCCTTGGCTGAAGAATGAAGCAAACGGGATAGTGCCAAAAACTGCAGATCCCTGACCCGCCACTTGAGGCTGGCTCTAAAAGCGAATCTTTCTCCATAAGCCCCCATATTGAAAAGCTCAAATTTACAGCAAAAATAAACAGCCTGTTTCAATAAAAGGTGCTGGTCTCTATAGCTAAATTCCCTGTTCATGACAACTGTATGTGGGGTGAATTTTTATTAACTCATCCATTTAAATTTTATTAATGCGTAAAGTTATGCATAATTAAAGGCGCATCTGCTTTGAGTGACAGGTGGGTGCCGTCACAGGTGGCTGGTTTCAGCAACCAGGCTTCATTCAGCCCGCCTCAGCTCCACCCACGCTCCACAGGGGATTTTGGGATTAGCCGAGAACACTTCACAATAGCTTTTCAGAAACCTGTGGCTGACGTCACGGAGACTACGTCCATATTTTATACAGTCTATGAGCTAAACAGAGCAAGTTACAGCTTAAAATAGAGAAAGTGTTAAGCAATATGTCACGATTAATGTAGCAGTTTTATCTCCCTAATATCACAAACGCTGTTTATTGTCTTGGACTGGATAATCAGACTTTGAAGCTGACTTGCTCTAAAACCGTTTCTCTTTATTGATCTGTTTTCTGCTGGTGAAGAGGTGTATCATTCATGGAACTAGGATACCAGTGTTGGTTTCCTCTCTGTGGTTACTGTGGTTGCCATGGTCACACAGTGAGCCGTGACCGGGAGTTAAAAAAGTTGAACCATTATAAACTGTACATACAGCCAGAGTGGCAACCGCCGTTCCTCTCCTTGCCTGTGCGCTAGCTGGCCTCAGCAGCATGTCTGTCACTGTGTTTACATTGAAAAGGGTGGCACCTTTGGTCTTGTTGCATTTCCATCACAAAATCAGGTAACATTCAACTAGTTGTTGTAAGGCCTTACAAACACATTCTACACTTCTTCTACACTGATTGGGTATTATAGCCAGAAGTGTTTTAATCAACAGTTTTTACTAAAGAGATTGAAAAATGGATAAAAACACTCAAGTACTCGTTTCACTTTATTTTTGTTTAAAAGGTGAAATCTGTCTGGATACTGAGGCAGTTTGTATAAGAACTGTTAGTTTGCAGCGACAAATATACCTATAGTATATTCACTGAAAGGCTTATTTTGGTATTTTTTACTCAAAAACTAAATTATTTAAACTTTAAACAATATATACAAGAGATGTAACTGGGAGCACTAAAGTTTGACAACAATGTAATTAAATAATTATGACATGGAAAAAGACATGAAACAACTCATGGAGCAGCTGACTGCTGTTCATGACAGCATACAACCCAGTTAACAGTGTCTATGTTGAACAATATCCATTCCCTGTTCATAATTGATTTGTGTTCAAATGTGCATCCCCTTACTGTTTGCACATTTTACCAACCAGAATACAAGGAAAAGGTATAGATCCTTTTTTCTGATTTGCACATAAAGTATTTATCAGTCAATGTTGGAAACTTCTAATTTTCATTTGTGCCAAATGCCAATGCTTGTGTCTTGAATTTCTAATTTCTCTCTGTCCTTTGGTTCTGGTGTGAGACCTAACTGAAAGCCCTTCCTGGATTTCTTTGTCTCACACAGTTATACATTTTCAACATTTTGGCATTCTTTTGTTTTCATCAATATTATGTGTAATAAAATGCAACCAAAACAAAAATGGTTGAACGAGGTATTGAATGATTTCATAAAGTCTTTTTATTTCTAAAATTTTCCTTTCAAAATAAGCGTTTTGGCCCTAAAGAATGGTTTCTCCTTGACTCTAGATTAAGCTTTTAGCGTATGAGATGTACAGATTATAGAATGAATAACAGTGACAGATCAATGAATACCTGGAGAATGACACAATTTAACTACAGTGAGTTATAACTTGCAGTTTAGGTGTGTGCATGTATCATAGTCACAAGGTGATATTTTACTTTTTTTTTCTCTTGGGATACCTCAATGCAATTTCTGCCCACATGCTCTGATTATATAGAGTTCAGTTCTGTGCAAAAAGGAATACGCCAAGAACACAGAATGTAGCACGACTGCTTTGCAACACCTGAACTAACATCCAGTTATTTGCGTAGCTTCTCTGATTTGTTTATGTCTCATACAAAAAGTATTAAATTACTATTTACAGCAAGTCATCAACTCTTTTCTACTTTATTCCTGTTTCCATATATCTGCATCCTGCTGCTCCATCTCAGTAAAACCTCCAATTTGATTCAATTTAAAAGCATGTAACGTTACACCTGAATGCCCAAAGTGATGACCTTAAATTTGACCTCAGCCAACAAACTATTGTATTTCTACTGGCTCAGCAGAAGACCAACCATTGATCATTATGTAAAAACACAGACAGGAGAAAATGGCAATTAAGCACAATATGGAAACACAGCACTTTAAACAAGGTGAAATACGTGCAGTGCTGTGTATTTATTCATTGATTCCAGCACATAATCAGAGGAAGGGAGTCTGGATGATAGTCTGAAATACAAAGTAGCACTTTGTACCAACTCCAAATGAGCTAAAACACAGCTTTATAAAAAAGAAGTCAAGCTTAAGTTTGTCTTTTGTCTGTATGCAAAGATTCATATTTGAACGGATATTAATTTCCATTTGTCCTTCCAGTTTCCTCTAGAAACACAATACCGCGGTATATTGTCAATTGAATTCTGAAATGAAATGAGGATGGTCTTTATGAAACTACAAACTAATTTCCATTAAATGATAAGACATGCCTTTCCAGGAGGGATTTCATATGCATAATTTCAGTATTAAATACTTACACAAAGGCAAATTACAAACGTGTACATCATAAGGTAGGGCTTCCCAAAGGTCCTCTGTTGGCTGCCTGAAGAAAGCAATGCAAAATGCCACGTAAGTACACAGTTATTAATTATAACTAAATGTCATGCTATTAAATTTACCTTGATGAAGAATTGACCTTCAATGCTAATTTCAATTAAGTGATTGTCTTTGCAGATACATATGCCAGGACGGTGGTAATTCATTTAGACAAGGAGAAGTGTGAATTTAATAACTTAGATGCTTGGCTCATGATGAACCTGAGGCTGCTATCTGCTTCCTGATAAACTGTTAGACTATCTGCAGATATGTGCATAGTTAATATTATAAACAATATACTGTATGTGGCCTATGGAAGATGAGAATGTATGATAAGAATATATAAGACTATATAGATCTTACACACACACACACACACACACACCCACACACACACACACACGCACGCACGCACGCACGCACGCACGCATAAATATTTTGATTCAATTTAAAATGAGAACCCTATAAAAGAGTTTTAAATATCTATGTGATGATGGCTACATGTATGATACAATGCTAAAAGTCTGAGGCTAAAGCTACCAGGTAGCGTACCAAGCAAAAGGTCAGCAGTCTCATTAGTGGATGTTCCATGCATGTTGATGCAGAATACATTGAAATAAAGGAGCAGCATTGTTTGCGTATTGCAGTGTAGAGCTTGTCAGTCCTATATTATTACAGGATTATAAACTCAAATGTAATTACAATTTCACAAAAACTAGTTAGCTATACACAGAAGACAGATATAAAAATTCAGGCTGGAGGGTCTGCTGGAGTTGGAGCCCAGCTCTGGGGTTTAAAGATCAACCAGGGCAGGTGCAGGGGCCTGTGGCACCTGGCACGGTGCTATAGGCACTTTTCCAATCTGTTAGTTGGCGAACATTACTGAGGGGAAAAAGAGGAACACTCTGAGCAAATTATGATGACCTGAACAATCTGATCTGTGTTTAGATAAAAATCACGTTAGTAGATGACACCATTCTGATTTATTCCCACATACTGTGTGACTCACCCTGTGTTTCAATTTTTTACACATTAGAAAAAAATTTGATTTGTCCTACATGCGTGAAAATTATGAATAGGCTCATAATAATAATAATAAATAATAAATCAGCGGATTGAGTTTGCTCAGTTGTTATGGAGATGTATCTCTTCATATGGGAAACTGTTGAATAATTCCCTTATAGGCTAGTAAGTGTAAGCATGATGTTCATTCAAATGATGGTCTCTTATAGAGTAAAATAGACAATAAAACAGACGACCTGACAAGTTGCTGTGACAAGTCCTTGGGTTCTCAGTTAGGTCCAATGAGGATAAAGGTGGAGCAATGCATATCACCCCGAGGTCCACCCTCTCGTCCAATTATGGTTACTTGGCTCCAAAAAAACAAGATGGCGACGTTCATGATACGAAACTCAAGGATTCAAAACGGTAGTCCATAATCCGATGGTTGACGTCCTGGTAGGTTTGCACTTTGTACAAATATCCATACAAAAATCAATAGGCTTCAAATTTCATGGCGTTCAATAGTTGTTAAGATATTTCAGTGTGGACCAAACTGGTGCACCGACTGACCGACCAACAATGTCGTCCCTAGCCATGCTGCTAGTGTGGCTAGAAATGGATGAAATTATATAGAGCTACTGAGCTCGCATGACAACAGATTAATCCCTGTGACAACTGAGCAAACTTCAACCATTCCATCCAATAAGCACTGTGTGATGTGGTTAAAAAGCTCTGGAAAGAGCTAGAAAGTGTCTCATCAGTTGTGATTGCTTTGTCAAACTATTTATTTTTGTCTGCAACGGAGCACAACATGAAAAAAGTGAAGGGATGGAACCACTGCACAGTATATGACCGTGCAGGTGAACTAATTGTTAATTTGTTGTAGTTGTTTTAAAACTGATGAAAAAATGGTAAATAGTACAAATACAATTTATGCATACAATTTATATCAGATCGCCAGGTAGCATGACATTAGAAAGCTCAACCTTCTCTCCACAGATTCATTGGCCAACCCCTGTAGCCTGGCAGCCCTCAGCTTAACGTGAATTCCTAAGTAAAACATCTGTCAAGGTGGCCTTCCAATCAATTTCCCCATCACATCTCCTTAATCACTTAATCCAGGCTCTGATAAGTGCAGATTAGCAGTGAAAACTCCCTTAATAGGCCAGTCTGAATCCATACGTGAGACAGACGTCTACAGGAGTGTGCGGCGCATACAGACAGCCAAGAATGACAACACACCTAGACCTGAACACATACACACACACAGTAAATGTGCTGCTGGCTGGGCAGTGATACCCTCAGAGACCCGGGGCTCATAAATGGGGTAAAGCGTGAAGCACAGACCCTCAAGGGATCCCATTAAATCAACACACACACTGCATTTTTCCATTTCTTTCCCAAATGATCAGCAAATTTAGTGCGATCCCTCCAGTCATCAGCAATCTAAAAGTGCTGCCACTCAACAGAGCGCGAGCAGGGCTTCCCTCAGGGTACTGAGTCAAGGGTTCATGATTTCTGCACGTGCGGCTGCCCTTTGCTCCGCCAGAGTCCATCCAGAGACTTCTTGGATAGCTTATTAAGTGAACTGTATCTCCCTGCTGCCCTTATTGCTTTATCATGGGGTATTTACTATCTCCTTCCCCTTAGGGACAACATGGTCGCTGTGATTTGCTGATGGTCACCAGTTTTCTAGTGGTTCTCCATGGACTCAGGGTCTTACTAAACTCCTGAATATTTCAACTGCCCTGATTCCTTTTGAAAGCATTCATTAAAATGTTGAGTACTTTTTTTTTTATTATGCTGTATCACATTCGACATTAAAGACCCACAGCTACCCAACATCACGACTTCAACCTTTACTTGAGTCTGAAAGGTAGATGCAATCACTGCCCAACCCACCCCCCGCCTACACACAATGTGTGTCCGATCCAGGAGCAGACAAGCTGCAGACAACCAAATTCATTATTTAATAGAGAGGTTACGGTCATAGCTTCAAAGATGCCGTGTACCAGCTGATAACAGGCGTGGGCAAAAGGAGGGGCTTCACTTCAAAACTCTGTAAAGGTCTCCCAACTCCCGAGGATGTAGTTTTAAAAACAGTCAGAAATCCAAGTCAAGGTGCAGTGAACTAACCATGGGAGCAGCCACTGGCCAGAATTACTGAAGCCTCTCCCAGAAAAATATAACAAAGACCACATTAAAGATTCTGTGGTAGAGAAACATTTCTGTACACTGGAGTTCAGTTGTCTTGTTAAAAAAAAAAGGAAAACGCACAGTAGATTTTCGAAACAGCGTTTTTAGTGCTGATAAAGACAAATACACTGAGACAAAATGTTAATTACAAATAAAATGTTGTTTGTAACATTATTGTGAATTGTACAGTTTGAAACTAAACAACAAAATAAACTGCTCAGTCCTTGAAAGTAAAATGGCAAACAGAAATGATCTTCAGTAAATGATCCATTCTGTCTAAAGTGGGCACCACTGCCGGCTCAAATCCATGATGCCAGTGAGAAACAAGGTTAAAAAATGTCTTTAAAAAAAACAGTGTAGCAAATAACTGACAACAGGGAAGGGACAAAAGTTCATTTCAGGCAAGCGGTGCTTCCTTTTATCCTCCAAGTCTTTGAGGGAACTTGAGGGAACTGAGCTTAGAACTCAGTCATTTTCTTGTGTGTGTCAGCCTTTCTGTTCTCTTTCTGGATGGACAGCTCCTGGGCTTTCTGCTGGGCCAGCAGCCGGCGGGCCGATGACAGCTTCTCTTCCAGCTGCTTCACTCTGGAAGCGTCCCTTTGCACACAAAAATAACAAATACATTAGGAAGTGGGGGAGAGACGGGGGAGAGACAGGGGAGATAAGTTGGTTTTCAGCTGCACTTTTCCAGAATAAGTTGGCAGCGAAAACAAGTGTCGAACCTCAAATCTTCACACCTTATTTGCATTTTACACAACTCCCACAAGCCTTTTTATTTGTGAAATCAAATGAATTACCATTTTACTTGACAGGAGCTTCATAGCAACTAGTGTGCTCATATTTTCCAATAAAGTATTATTGTGTAAGCAGGGCATTTATGTATGTATGTGTAGGATTGCTAATGTCTCCACTGAGGAGTTAACAGGATGCTGAGATTCCACTGCTTTTTATTTTACAATTAACTGATCATTAAGGAAATCATGGGTCATTTAAGGTCAATTCCCAGTCTTCGCAGGAGTCAGATTAAAGATATAGAATAACAAATGAATGACACACACAGAGCTCAGTACTGACCTTCCTGTTTGTCGGCTGAGTGACTCACTCAGTTTCTGGATCTCCCTCTCAGTCTGGGACACCCTCTCAGCAGCCTGGAACAGCTTCACGTTCAGACTCCTCTTGGTGCTTTTTCCTCCCCTGTAAGCCTCCAAGCCAGTCGCTGCTGATGATGCAGCAGTGCCCCCCTCAGCAGGATCAGTGCTCTTGCCTCCAAGCTTGTTGTTGAGAAAGTCAAAGACGGTTTTGCGCCCTCCAGTGGCGACCTTAGGCTTTCTGCGTCTCTTTGGCCGGCCTTTTTGTGTGCCATCTTTAGCAGTCTTGTTCTGGGTTCGTCTCTGCGTGAGCTCAGCACACTGATCTAGAGACTTACCTTTGGGTAGGACCACGGCCATGACTGGCTCTACTCGACCCTCCTGCATCTTTCCTAAGCCTGAGAAAACAACAGTGACTGAGTGAGGAGGAGGAAGAGAGTGCATTTAATTTTTTACATTTACTGTATATAGACGGGAAAAGAAAGATTACTGGTAACATTTAAAATGCCTTCTATCATTAGAACACATTGTATTATGCAAATGAGGTGTTCTTGAATCTGTTGAATTCTTGTTGAAGGATGGGAGGAAGGGACTTTGAGACACCAATGCAACTGAGGAACTATGTCGTTTGTTAAGCTTTAGCATGAATGTGACAAAGAGAACATAATCTAATGTGTCATATATATGATAACTTGCCTTCATCAAATGCTGATGAAACATTTGTATGGAGTGTAGTGCAATTAGCAATTAATTTTAAGCAAGTTGCAAATGACTACTTTGACCAGGACAGGACATTATGACTTCAAAACCTAAAATGTGATTCATGTTGTGCACTTGAACTTACCTTTCCCATATTCATAGCCCATTTTGAGCATAAGCTTGGACCCGATGCCTCTGGTGTGTGCCTCCCAGCCACCAAAATTTATACTGTTTAACTCTACCGTGGATTCTACAGCAGAGTCCATAACTGTTGGGTAACGAGTGAAAATCAAATTAGAAACAGTTATAAAGGAGAAATGGCATCAAACAACTTTGTGTTCAATTCAAATTTTCAACTTGCAACACATAGCCATGCTCACCTTTTGCATAGGCCACATCATCTCCATCTAGAGTGTCCTCTAGGTCAGAGTCAGAGGAGAGTGGGTCGTCCTCTCTCAAAGGCGGGATAACACCGTCAGCCTCGACCACGACATCTTTCAGCAGCACTGAGTCAAACTTAATAGTGTAGAAACCACTGTCGATTTCTATATTGAGAGAAAACGTTTGAGTGAGCAAAACATTCAAACTGGGAGCATCTACTCTACCTTTGTCTTGGTTGTTTTTGCTACATTGTGCGACTCTATTCAGACTGCTTGCTGAAGAGTTTCAGAAAATGTCTGTGTAACATTTTTTGACAAGGTGACATAACTTAAGTTTAACTTAACTTTAGTGTGAATTCATCTATCAGCGTTGTCAACAGAATACCTTTGATTTTGGCAGGGTACCAGATGCCGTCCTCGTGTCGAGCCAAGCAGGACGATCCTTCTTCAAGATTACTGAGATCAAACTCAAGGAACTGTCTGAGCTCCGACACATAAACCACTTCGCCGTGGGAAAACCTTCAATAAAAGGGAAAAAGGAAATACTGTATGTAGACAGAACTGAGATCCAAATTGATAATACATACAATAATCAAGAGGTTCAACTAATATGGCTCACTGAAGCTCATACTGTACTAGAAAACACATTCATAGTAATTTATCGTTGTCGGATCGAATGTCCTCAGAAACAGCATTTAGTCATGGAACAATAAACCTCTCCCCGGTCAGCCGGATTTTGAGTTCTTCAGGATTAGCAGATCGATAGGATGACAAATTATTAGATAAAACATGTCATTTTTGCCAACGAAATATATCATATTGCTGGACGATATCTGCTATTACAAAGAAGGCAGATATGGGCAAATTGAGTTAGAACAACCATTTGCAGGTGCAAGTGTAAAAAAAAACCCTGAAAGAAAACAGTGGCATCTTACCTGCAATTGTCTGGGAAGCGGCATTTGTCCTCTAGGTAGAATGGACAGGGTTTCATAGACTTCTGGGTGGGCAACACATAGAGCACTCGTACTTGTGCCTCTTCTCCGTCTGGTGGTTCTGCCCCCACCACCATGGCATTGTGATACTCCAGGGTCCCCCATTTTGTCCGGTAGGGTGCTCTTACTTTGGTACCACTGAGGGCATCTTCTTCTTCCTCTGCCTCCTCCTCTTCATCATCCTCTACCCCACCTTCCCCCTCCTTGTCCCTCTCTCTAGTATCAGAACTACTACCTGAAGACTCCCCGAGTTCAGAGTAGAAAGCGGCAAACTCAGCACCCAAACTCTCATTTGCACTGTTTGTGTCAGCTTCTGCCTCTGAGGTGCTTGACTGCAGTCCATTGATGTCCTCGAGGCTGGCCAGAAGACGACTCTTTTTGACAGACACCAGGCTGGACTCGGTGAGCTCTATCAGCTGACTAAGGTCCTCTTTCAGTTTTAGCAGGTCTGACTGTTGGGAGGGGTCCAGGCCAGCTGACAGGGCTGTCTCCACCTGCTGCAACTGGGCACCATAGGTAGAGATGGCTGCCTCAAGGGTTTCTTCATCCATACTGACACTTGGCACGGGGCAGGACAGGGATGGACAGCATCAAGCCCCCAAAACACCTGAGGACAAATAAGATTTAAAGTGGAATCAAGTAAACAGATCTCAGCAGAATGAGTAGATGGACTGATAGAGCAGACATATGGCCATTCTTCTTTCTCTTCACACGAGAATACAACTGGTCCTCTCCTGTATGATTCAAATTGCCCCAGATTTTCACTGAGTTTAGGGACCATCCAGGTTTAACCTAGGTTACGTATGAATCGAAACCCAGCTAATATTAGAGCTAGTTTTAGCTAAAGGTTAGCCGTTTCTAAGCTAACTTTTACAACTCATTTTAAAAACGCTTTACCTTCGTAATTAGGGAAGCAGTCTGACTTCCACTGCACCGACGGTAAAAGGGATATGTGCCATGAAAAGATGTGCTATGTTAAGAAAACAAGTAATTCAAATAGCTAACGTTAAATGAACATATTGGGACAGTAGTACAGTCACAACATGAACCGGTTCAGTATCAAGCTAGCTGAAGTGGGTGGAAGGTTACGTTGTGCATTTCTTTCAAAATAAAACAAACTTTATTGCCATGGGAAACACGTTTACGTTGCCAAAGCTATATTAGAGTAAAGTAAACAAAAACAACAACCATGAAAAGTAGATTTGTAGTTAAACAACACAAATACAAATGTCTTGTGTATGTGTCTAGGTTAAATGTCTCCAGACACTGAATGGTTTTGATGTTAACTACTGTCAGTACAATGTTAGAAATACATCTTGCTAGTTATTAAACCAGTATCTGCTAAACTAGTAACCTATTATTTAATTCAGCTCCATGGTGCTTAATTGATACGACAAATACATGTACATGTTAGTAAGATGAAAGCATTGTTTTTTTTTGTAACGTTTTTATTGCGTTTTCTTTTTCACTGTAAAACGTTTTTTTATTTTGAAATCTCCACAACCCGGAAATCTTTTGGTTTACGTAAAACATGTGCGTCCTTGACGCAGAATCATGACGTCTCCTGTAGCCAGAGTTCAGTAACAACATCAGTGTGTGCTGTTATTAAGTTTTATTCGTACTTTTAAACCTCCTCTATGGGCTCATTGCTACGCGCAGCCGGTCCACTCAGTGCTACTCATGTGAAGGTAGGCTAACTGTTTGTGGACGCTAGTACCACAGCTCAGCTTCAGCTGCATGCTGGATGCTGTCAGCTAACTGATGCTAGAGGTTCTGCTGTTCCTGTGTAGACTTAATGTTGTTATATATCGGTTTCTTAACTTGAATGAAGTTAGGACCTTGTCACAGCGGGCAGTTGGTTCATTATAAGGACATAAGTACTAAAAACAGCATTTCACATACAGTAGCTAACTTGCTAACCCTAACACTGGTTGGTACAACAAACCTAAATCCAGAATGTCAGAGCAAGTCTCAGGCAGTGGCAATCATCATCATGACCACCCCTCATGTAGTTTAACAAATCATAATGGACCCCTAATCTCAAAGACATAATGTAAATTATTTTAGCTCTAAGAATAAATGACTTTCAGTTTCTCCCTACAATGCTTGTTCTTTGTCTTATTCTCCCATTTCTCTTTCCGCACCCCCACATTAAAGTGACCGCTGCTGTCATGTCTCCGACCATGGCTCAGATCAGTGATCCAAAGATTGCGTTTGCCTACCTGCGCCCGGCCTGTGTCCTGCTCACCAAAGAGCCCACTGTGACCAATGTAGAGACACTGAGCGCCCAGCTGAAAGAAGTCAACGATGCCACATTGCAGCAGCTCCAAGAGTACGTCCTCTTCCCTCTTCGCTTTGTCCTTAAAGTCCCTGGGTCCAAGAAGGACAAACTGGTGCAGGCTGTGGCTGAGACCATGAGCCAGGTCCTGGAGAACACTTGTGTCCAGAGCTGGGAGACCCTCCAAGGCCTCCTTCTCAGAGCTTTGCCTCTGCCTGTGCTCACCAACCGATCCTGGGAAACCTGCAGATACATCGGAGGAGCTGAAATCGGCTGTGCTGAGGTGCCTGGATGCACTGCTTCATGCTGCCTACGGTGATATAGTCTTCAAACTCTTTGAACCCATTATGCTGCCTGGACTGGGAGCTGCCATATCACTACTGCTGGCTTTAGGAGAGAAAACAAAATCAAGAGGTATACAGGCAGCAGCGTTGAAGTGCCTCCAGGCTTTGACTCTGCAGTGTGACTGCACTCAGGAGCACATAGTCCCATCCTCAGAGGAGAGATGTGCTATAGGCAGCACCATGGCTTCATTCTTACCTGGGATCACTACTGCTGTCGCACGGATCATTACAGGAGATTTGAGACAAGGCCATGCAGTCACAGTCAGGGCCATCAAGGTACCGTATTTCTGTGTTAATTTATATTTCCTGGTGTAATGATGCGGTACAGTACAGTACAGTACAGTACAGTAATACTTAAATATTTTAACTGCTGCATAATATATTATAACATATTAATTGTGTAATTGCTGATGTTTCTCAGCTTTTAATCTGTATTCAGTCCAGTATTTAACTGTGTGTCTATAAATGGATATTTTACTACAAATAAGTGTGTTACAATTATTAAAGCTACAATTTATTTTTAGAGCTGCAACATTTAGTCGATTATCAGAAAATGAATCTGCATCTAATCAATTATTAAGTTTTAATATTCAAAAGTAAGTCAGTTTTCATGCCAAAATGTCAAACAATTTATGATTCCAGCTTCTCAAGTATGAATATCTGCTGCTTCTCCTTACATTCCAGTAAACTGAATGTCTTTGTGATTTTGACTGTTGGACAAAACAAGACATTTGATGGCATCACCTTGAGTCTAGACAGTTGTGATGGACATTTTTCACTTTTCACTTCATGTTTTATAGACCAAATGATGAATCGAGGAGATAATCGGCAGTTGAACCGATAATGAAAATAATCACTAGTTGATTATTTTCATTATTAATTGTTTTACACTATAAAATGTCAGAAAATAGTGAAAAATATTTTCAAATTACTCCTTTTGTCCAAATCTAGAGTCCATATTATTATCATTAAATTAACAATGAAAAGCAGCAAATCTGCAAATTTGAAGATTTAGTTTAATGAAAACCGTAAAAAAAGTTTTTTCATTTTTTTTCATTTTCTGTTGATCATTGCGTTATATTATAAATATCCTGCATATTATATAATAATACAACTGTAGAAAAGTGAGTGTGCTGTGATAGTCTAAACGTGCTGTTTCAGAGGCTTTTCCACACTGATGCAACGATTAGGGTGAAATGCAGTGTCCATGTTACTGGTTGTAATTCTTGACATACAGTATGTTTACAGAAAGCCTCCTTCCATCAGTTGACTTAAACCTTTGTGTGTTTACTCATTAAGTTTAATTTGTTAGAACAAGATTAAATATGTAAACAGTGTCATTATCATGCCTAGTCAAATTTAGAGTCTACAAATTTGAATACAGTATATATTGTATCCAGACTTGTACATATATCTGTGCACGGTAAGATAACAGGTTGGTCGTGCAAGCTGATGGCCAACTAAGCACATATTAAAGAGCAGGTCTAACCATGTTTGGACCAAACTGATTGATTATTTCCTTGTAAATGTAATCTCATGACTTGTTTATGCCACAGAATTATCTTTTTTTTAACTTTTAATTATCACTCAGGTTTGGTCCAGGACTGTGGGGCTTGTCATGGAAGATGCCCAGCTTCAGGCCAGTGAGCCCGGGAAGACTCCCTCACCAGACCTGGGGAGAATTGGACAGTTGGTGGTCCGGCGGACACAAGACTGGGTGAAGAGCACAGCAGGGAAACTGTCTGTGCTCCTGAAGAAGATTATCTCCTGCACCTCAGCTCACCAGCACTGGAGGGTTAGACTAGAGATGGTGGAGCTGGATGACCACCTGCTGGCCAGGTGTAGCCAGTCACTGGGAGAGTGTGTGGGGCCGCTACTGGAAGCACTTGTGGGAGCAGTCAATGATGAGGAGCTGAGAGTCAGAAAGAGGTGCAATATGATTGACATTTTGGACAGGAAAAAGACTGAAACCCAGACAACTTGATAACAAGATGTTTAAACTTCTCTCCTCTCCTGTCCTCTCCTCTAGGTGCGAGGCCGCTCTCAGGGAGGTATCACAGAGGAATCAGAGCGGTAGCAGCAACAGTAAAAGCAGCAGCAGTGCTCAAACCTTTACTGACGTGCTTTCAGAGAATCTCCACTCTCTGGCCACCTCCCTGCCCAGACTGATGAGGACCTCTGATGACCAGAAGAAGCTGTTTGTCCTCAATGTGTTTCTGGGATATTTAAAAGTCCTGGGGCCGCTGGTCTCTGTGGTACTAAACTCGGCTGCACATCTTCAGAGAATTTCCAAAGCCTTGATGCAGGTAATGTTACCTGCCATTGTATCAAATTATACTTAATATTATAGGGATTATAGGGATTATAGGGCTTCATGATTGTCGTTAATCAAATTAAGTAATTTTTTAGAAATCATTTAGTGACTTTTTTAACCAATCCCGATGCAGAGTGCATAAAAATAATAAACCTTAGGTTGAATATTTTTATTGATTAGGCTAAATATTATTTATGAAGGCAGCAGGAGAGGTGTAAAAGAATTGAAAGCAGTCTGTAAATCGTGAGAACACACGCTGCTGCGTTATCAGTCCTTTAGATTTTAGAATTTCATACTAAACCTGTACCAAAAATAATTTGCATGCACAAAACACACTTTGAATATAATGTTGTATACATTTCACATTTATTCTTTATAAGCTAATTATCCAATCATAGAATATAACTTTTTACAACATACATTTTGAAATGTTGACAAGTAGTGCAAAATGGTCATGTCTTTGTTTTACACAAATAACTGAGACAAAAGACAAGTTGTCATACTTACTGTGGTAATATACAAGGCAAATTGAGGCAGACCTCTTATGGAGTCTAAAAACTAAATCATTCAAATTGTTAAAACAACAACTACTACCTCTGTATGCCTTTACAGGTGCTGGAGCTGGATGTGATGGATGTTCGCATTGTGGAGGAAAGGAGTTACGCTGCTATCATAGAGACAAACTCAGACTCTCATGATTCCCACACGGCTCACATACAGAGGAAGCATTTTCTCTACTTCACAGACGAGAAGATCCTATCTGTGCTCATGGAGATCTGTCGAACATTAGGTATGAGTGCTGTTTGATATGAACGTAAGGGATAGGCTATATCAGAATGATCTACTGTACGTTTCTTATTCTTCTGGATACATGACAGTACTTTATGTCTGTGTCAGATTTATTTAAAAGGAGTATATATAAGTTATAAAAAGAGAAATTGGACTAATGTCAAATTCTAAAAGCATATACTAATACATAATGTATTAAAGCTGATTACATTCTGTGTCTATACACAGTATTTACATTTGACATTTAGTTTGACAGCTCTGCTACCAAAAATATAACAAGTAACTTTTGCTATTCCTATCTTTAGGTTACTATGGCAATATTTACCTGCTGACAGATCACTTCCTTGATCTGTACCAACAGTCGTCAGCATACAGAAAGCAGGCTGCCATGGTGCTGAATGAGATTGTCAAGGGCGCCGCAGGCATAGCCGTGGCAACAGAGGCCCAGGGTTTGGAGTGTCACATTCGGGGATACTCTGCCACCCAGGAAGACCTTAAGGTGGCAGTGGTGTCTGTCATGGAGGAATACACCAGTCTGAAGAACTGGCACTTGATTACTGTCAGTGAGGAGACGGAGAGAGACAGACAGGACCAGCAGGTGAGGATAGTTTCAGCTGTGCATCTTATATATATACATAGTTCTGAGTCAGTTTGATACAGTTGGACACTGGTTTGGTCACCTGGCAAAACCATAACTTATGATTTTTCATCAAGTTGTAATAGTAGTAGTAATTACAGTTTAACATTTTTAAAATATGCTTATTCACTTTCATCTTTCTAGTTATGTGATACCACTCTCATGTTTGTACGCTCAGTATGAAGCTACAGCTAACTAGTGGTAAGCATAGCCTTGCATCAAGACTGATAGCAGGTGAAAAACAGTTAGCCTGGCTCTGTCCAAAAGTACCAAAATCCACCTACTACCACCACCTCTACAGCTCACTAGTTAACACTTTGTATCTGGTTTGTTTGATCAATGCAAAAATCAAAATGTGAATATGAAAATGTGTCATTGACACGTAGTTACAGGCTAGAACTATTTCTTGGCCATGCTATTGACTTCCTGGAGTCTGTGACTGAGAAGGCTCCACAAAGTCTAGGAAGATGTCTGCAGGTAAATGTTTTTTACTTTTGGACTGACCCAGGCTAGCTATTTACCCCATTTCCAGTCTTTATGCTAAGCTAAGCTAACTGCCTGCTGGCTTTAGCTTGATATTGAATGTACAGACATGAGAGTGGTGTAAATCAGCTCATCCAACTGTCTTCAAGAAAGCAAATAAGAGCGTTTCATAAATTGGGAAACTGCTCCTTAATGTCATTTGATAGTTTCACATTTGATTTGGCAATGGATTGTTTTATGGTCCATGAATATTACATCACCGTCAGCTACATTTTCTGATTAGCAGACTCTCTGGGAATGATCATCATGTGTAACAGATGGCCCCACTCTTCATGGATTGATATTCTGAATGAAGAAGTGATACAGTGCTATTTGATTTAAAAATTTTACATCTCATTTTGTATTCTGTGAACATTTTCTAATCAAGTCAAGTGTAATATTGGACTCCCACGCTGAACACATATTGCACAACTCTGTCGGCATTTAAATTTGATCCTGGTCAGATCACTTCACTCCAAACAAAGCACTCCTGTACTGAGAAAGATAACCATACTTTGCTCACAATATGGCCTTGGACTGATCACTGTGTGCTCTTATGCCTGAACAGACTGAGCAGAGGGGGAAACTCCTCCAGGGCTTCAAGTAACCGCTCTAAACTTTCAAGGCTGGATTATAAAGCTAACAGGCACCCAGAGCCCACTGGCAGCTCTGTCTTAATTTGCCAGCTAAAATTTGTCCCCACCAAATAAGAAGTTTGGCCTCTGTAGAGACTGTTGTTGTGTCCCCCCTTAAGTGAAATCAGTTACATTCATAAATGGAAAATGGAATAAATATGAACATGGTAAAATATTTTCCTCGCTACTTCCCTCACCTTACAATTGGTACTTTTAATGAATAAAACACCACTGAATTGTCAGAGGAAAATGGTTTGGTGCATGAGAATAACATTTGTCTTTTGTTCCTGTAGCTGCTCAGCCCATCCAGACTCCTCTCCATATCAAACAGTCATCTCAGCAACCCTATTGCAGACTCTCTCCAAGTGATTCCCTCTTCGTTTGCCTCCGCGTCTCCCTCATCGTCAACCTCCACAATCCACCAGCTCAACAGCAACATCTGGCAGCTGTGTATCCAACTCGAGGGCATCGCCTGCTTTGCCCACGCCCTGGGGGGTGATTTTCGTCCCTTGTTGATGACATCGCTGTATCCCGTACTGGAGAAAGCCGGGGAGGAGACATTGCTTGTCAGCCAGGCAGCGCTGGCCTCAATGTGGGACATCAGTAAGGCCTGTGGCTACCCCTCCCTGAAGGAGCTGATCAATGAGAACTCAGACTACCTGCTCAATGACATATCAGTTAACCTGCAGAGGCTCAGCCAGCATCCACAGGTAAAACTCCCACAGTTTGACATGTTATAATGCACAATAGCGTGAGGTGACATCTTCAGTTTGCTTGTTTTGTTCAACCAGAAGTGCAAAATACAAGAGTCCCAGTGTGACAGTAATTTTATTGTTTTGCATGTTGCCATTTTTTGTTGACCACATTTAAGTCTGCCCTGCCAAAAGCACCTGTCACTCTTCTTAGCGCAGTGTGATTAGCTGCTGTCAGACTGATTCGAAGCATATCTGTTGTCAGGAAAATAAAGACTTGCACATGTTTTTATGATGGGCTTGGGGAGGATATCAAATCATTCCAAGTCAAAGGTCATTGGTATTGAAGTCGAGTCGGATTTTGTCAAGTCAAGACTTAAGTCATCAGATTCATTACTCGTGTTTGACTCTAGTCCAAGTCATGGGGCCCAATCACCCTGGTGAATACTGTGAATGGGTTTTCATGGGTTTGGCGGACCCTGAACATGTATTTCATCATATCCCGTCTTGTTGGTCAGGCTCCGCGGGTGTTGACAGTGATGTTAACTCATTCCGACTGCAGCCTGCTGCCTCTGGTCGGGGACATCGTTCAGGATGTGCTGATGGCTCTGGATCTCAGCTACGACCACACAGCTGCTCTTTTCTGCTCCGTGTTGCATGCGCTGATGAAGGCACTGGGTGAGATTTCAACTCATTTATCACATATGGTGAGGGTGGAAAAGGAGAAGGGACAAAATGAGTATATTGCCTATGTGAGTCTACCATACCCATAGCATGCTGCACCATATCATCCTTCTTTCTACCACACTTTGCTAAAACATTTAGTTCAGTTATGTTCTAAACATTTATGGATAAATCATTGACTTTATTAAGAGTTTTAGTATCACATGATGGTTTGAATTTGCTTTGCTTCTTTTGTAAAAAGAAAAAGATGTCACAGTCCTGAAAGAGTGTTTGATTGACATGTGAAGTGCAAAAACATCAAGGATGGAGACAAAATAAAGACAAAGATATTGCGTATTACCACTTTTGTGTCACACACCTCACTGTGTCACTGACCTAACCTGTTCTTGTGGTTCTTTTTCCTTTAGCGAGGTGGTTTCCCTCCAGTTGTGGTAAGACCAGCAAGTCTGCTGGACCCAAGCAGACCACCGTTCACAAGGAAGTCTTTAACATCCGACAATTCCTGCTGGATTACCGCAAAGAGAAAGAGCTGGCAGAGGGCATTGGAATAGAGGAGGATGACACTGAAGACCTTGGTAATACAGTGTGGTGTCTGTAAGACAGGCAATTATAGTTTACTGTAGTTCAGGTTTCACATTGCTGTAAAGGTTATCAGCAGGGGGATTGGGTCATGGTGACACAAAATACAGTATGAATAACAATAAAGTATTAGACATAAGAGCCAACAACAACAGTGGGAGTTTGCTGAGTCGATCAGTTGTATATCATCCGACTATTATTGTCTCGCCAGAAGTCCCTCCTCCCACGGAGTGCGAGGATGTTGAAGATATCTGCGGTCCTGATGTGAAGGCAGAGCTTCCCTCCCACCTCAGCATCACTAAAGATGTTATGGAGCGCTGCATTCATCTTCTGTCCGACCCCAGTCTCATGCTCCGGCTCAAGGTACTGTCTGTGGCGTGAAGGGGAGTGTGGTTTTTTATCGTAATAATCATTGGGGTGACAGACCTCCCGTCACTTATGATAACATCATGAAGATACAATGGAGAATCATAGCTGAAGAGTCATCATCAGTCATCAGTCAGAGTAGTCTAATGTGAGTTAGACAAAAAATACTTTTTAATTAATTTAATTTAATTTAATTTTAATTATATTAGTCATGAAGGGTTAGCCACCCCAGGGTAGCTCTGAACTAGGTTGTAGTTCTAGAAAAGTGAGTATTTCTTAAACATTTTTACCCAGGAGTCTTGGTCCTCTAATATGGCCTGCCGAGGTCGTTTTACATCTTACAAAAACTGTACACATATATATTTTGTTGTTTCACTCTATATATACAAAACATATAAATCAATAGATGTACTGCATTTCTTTGTCCTAAGGTATTGGATGTGCTGGAGCTATGTGTGTGTGTACTGAGTGAGAAGGAAAATGAATTGCTGCCTATGGCCCATCGCTGCTGGCCCGCCCTCCTACAGAGACTCACAGCTGATGACCCTTTAGCAGTCCTCAGAGCCTTCAGGGTACGTAAAGTAATAAATATGAAATATGAAGTCAACAAGCCTTTTCTTGATAATCTTTGAGGAGAAATGTGTTCATTTAGGTGAAAAATTTAATAACCCCTGCAGCTTGATATTGTGAAAAAGTACACAAAAAGTATTTAAAGTCATGTTTCATTACATCAAATTGCTGTATGTTATTATGTGCACCAACTGAACAGGGATGACTACATTTCTGACTAAAATGACATTTTGTAATATTGAAACATACCTACAGTATATTGAATCAATCAAAGGTTATTGTTTTGGGCACAAATATAGTGTCAGTTTATTATCAAATAGCTCCAGTGGTTACTTTTGGCTGGCTTTTTCATTTTTGTAATTCTGTGAAAGATTTTTAAAAAGACAAGACAGGAAAATCATTACAATGTTTGTGGATTGGCTTCCCCTGGCTTTTAAAACTGTTTCAGAAAATGACAGAGGATGAAAATGGCCGTGTTCCCTGATGAGTAAAGATCACACTTGTTTGTGATCCTTTCTCTACATGTGTCTATTGATTCTACATGTCACTGTAAATGAGTCTACTTGTCAAAATCTATCTTTAGTTGGACTATTTTTACACTTTTCTTTCATATTATTCCCTGATGAACTGACAAAATCAGACATAACAAGTTTGTAAATGGTCATTTAGTCACTTAGTTCTCCTCCTGGCAAACCGTGCTATGGCCATCAGCAATATGACAGCTTTTGCAAATACTATGGCTCACCCGGGGGATAATGCATTTGTCGTCATTTATCATATGTTTTTAAATGATGTAAGCACTAGAGGGACATTCTGTTACATTTTGTTAACTTGATGCGTACGTACATTACATGCTGAGTCTCTGTCCCAGGTGCTGTGTACGCTGGGTGAAACATGCGGTGACTTCCTGAGGAGGAGGGTTTCTAAAGAGATTCTGCCCAAGTTGCGCTCCTCGCTGGCACGGCAGGCTCCCATCAGTGCCAAGGCCGGGCCTGTCTACACACACACCCTGGCCTACAAATTGCAGCTGGCTGTACTGCAGGGGCTGGGCTCACTGTGCCAGAGGCTGGACCTGGGTAAGATTCAGATTCAGATTCAGATTCAGATTACTTTATTGTATATACAACTATAAATAACATAGCAACACGCAAAAACAGTAGAAAGTTAAATTGACTAAGTGGCAAGTGAAGGTAATGAAAGTGATGGTGATGATAACCATCACAACAATAAATAATACACAGCAATAATAAAAAGTACACAGCAGTAAAATGTATATTAAAAATAATTAAAAAGGATATTAAAAATGGGGGATATGCAAGTTCCAAAGGGCCTATTTAAACAGGAATACATACAACAACACACAACATAAAGTTGTAAACATCATCCTATATAATTGTATGATCCACAGTGTAACAATAATCACACCAGACAAGAAGTAGACAAAGAACACTTTGGAAGATGGGTTACTTCAGTACCAATGTAATATCAACCAGAGTACCTAGAGTAAAATTGTGCGCAAAGTCAAGCCATTAAGAGGACACACACCAGCGATTTAGATGCATTAACGTTCATACAGATCTCCAATTTTATACTTCTGCATTAAAGGAACAGTACATTTTGGAAAAACATATTTGCTTTCTTTTGGAGAGTGTGAAGAGAAGATTGATACTAATTTTGCAATTAAGTAAAGTCAGCATATAATGAGCCAAGCTTATCTTAAAGACTGGATCATGGGGAAACAATAAGCCCAACTCTGTCCAAAGTGGATAAAAGCCGGCCTCCAAAGCAGTCTTATTTACACTTACACTTCTTTACAAATGACAATAAAAAATTTGAATTTGAAATTTTAAGGGGAATTAGAAAAGGAAAAGGTTTCTTGTTTAGTTGTTTTTGGCACTGGTACTGGTAATGACAAGACTTTGGGACTTTGTGTTGTATATGTGGGTTATTCTTTTAATATGTAGCTTTAGTTTTGTTGACTTTATATTGAAATGGGTGGATTTCCACACACACACACACACACACACACACACACACACACACACACACACACACACACACACACACACACACAGAGTTTAACAGGATTAGGACATTCAGTTATCCTTCAGATTGCCTTCAGAGAACGCAGTGACTTTTTTTACCACCAGATGGCAGTGTTGTATAACAGTGAAAACCAGGCAGGAATAACATTTGTAACTAAATTCATCTGCTTTGTTTTATTGTGTAGACATGATCCCATGTTTCATCTTGAAAATCTGGTATTGAAAACTTAAATGCAGTGCATCTATTTATTGATGCTATTACACAAAGTTTGTTCTTGGTGGGTGTCGATGTCTTGTATTTGGGGCAAGACACAATAACTGCTGCAAGCAACCGTTCTGCCTCAAGCTCCATTTCAACACAATTAATCAAGAGTCTCTGTTAAATCCGCAATCATCAAATTAAGAAAAGGAGGATGTTTAATTGATTATCTCAGAAATGTAATGTTTTTCAGCGTTGTGTATTTCGTGCTTGGCATAGCTTCAGTATCATAACTGAAAATGTTAATCCCAAAATGGCCTGGGGACTCAGTGCCAGTGTGTTACCAATGATGTAATTATGAGCTGCTTGTCAAATTTTTCATCAATCATTATGTTCATTAAGCAGTGACGTCTCTGTCGCAGGCATTCTGGGTTCCGATTGCTCCAGTTTTTCAGCACTGCTGAATTTTCCACAAACACAGTACTTATAGCAGAACTAATATCTTGGTGCAGTGTGGGACTTCTTTTCACCTCTATTGTGGTGTCTTTTCTTATGTATGTGGGTTTTCAAACTATGGAATGAAAATAACAAGTGGTGGTTGCAATCAGCGGTAGAAATTACAGGCAAAATGTTCTTTTCATTCATTAAGTGGTAATCATAATCACTTCTACTTCCCAAGGACAGTGAGTATGCAAGAACCGGTTGGTGCGGTTATAGCAGCCATAAATCAGGACATAGAGCTTTACCACAGCTTTGATTCATATGGTTCATTATTTTTATTTTTGAAATAAAAAAAATGGCTTCAATTCTGACTTGATTTAAAAAACTGGGTAAAAAACCTGATTCTGTCATTTTCGGGGGGGTTTGCACAGACGTTAGAATTGCGTCCACCACTGCAAAGACCTTGCACTTGATTTCAAGTAGTGGTATCTCCAGTCTGATCACATGCACAGCAGTGTGCTGCTAAAGCTCATCACTGACAGATTAAACGTTAACGGCTGGTAGCAGGACTGTCTGCAGCAGACTTAGAGAGAACACTGCAGTTTGTAGTGACAGGACTGCAGCGCTTGGGGAATTCCAAATTGGGCATGAATGGGGAAGACATGATAGCAATAGAGATTCTTTGAGAAATTTGATTTAAAAAACAAACCTTACATATAGTATAATGTGCCTGTATGCAGAAACACATTCTGTATTGGTCCCCTAACTTTTAATATTGTTCTAGTAGAAAATACTTAGTAAACCCAGACTGAATGTACACTGTTAGTGATGCTGGTTTGTTATGTTCTGTTCGCTGATGTTCTGTAAACACAGTTTCAGTTTGACTATAATTGAAGGTGTGAGGTTTGGGTTCACAATGGGTGTGAACAAAGCTGCTTTAACAAGGAGGTGACCCAGCGGCGGATGAAGAAGAGGTGGTATTCAGTGTTACACACTGGTATTTGTGGCAGAGGACAGTCTCTGGAATAAATGTTCACCTGGGCAGGCGGAATTGGCAGCAGTAAGTTTTTGCACTCCACACAGTGCTCTTCACTCAGTGTCGGTACTGTCACTTTTTGAGCTTCTGTAAGTGAGGTGCAGAGAAAAGCCACCAGGTTCACCAGCAGAGAATCCGCCTGTACCCGTCTCCAATAATAGAGAAAGGTTTGTTCAGATAAATTGGTAATGGTACACATTTAAAACAAATACAGAATCTTAGTTTAGGTCAAATCACTGAAGTACACACACTTAGCCTCAAACATTGTGTCTCCATAGCAACATGCAAGGCTTGCAACAGGTGTTTAAATTTAAGACTCAAGTTCAAACCATTTTTTAAAAATGGTATCAAATGAACGTATAATGAGGAACGTGTCCTTGATAGTGATGAACCCACAGTTCCTCTCAGCTCTGGAGCTTCTTAAGCTTCATTTATACCTCCGCAAGACACCCTGGCATAAGCTTTTTGTTGGGTGCTTCTTTGTCTCTGGATTCTTCTTACGTAATGATGATATAAAAATGTCAAAGTGTTTGTGCGATGAGTCCACAATGAGAAGACCTGATGAAAGGCATATTTGTTACACAGCCCGGATTATGTTCAGGAAATACACTTCTAACAAACCCATGCACATTTGATGTTGAAGTTGTTAGTCTCTGTCAACTCGGTGAAAGATGCACATCTGGGGGTTAGTGTTAAGAAATTCCTTCCTTTCTTTGCTTTTTACCGTCAAATGCACTACCATTGTGTGGTAATGTCCCATTAGGACAAATTACCATAGTCAGTTAACTGAAAATGTGTAATAGACCACAGATAACATTCACTGCAAGATTTTGTGTCACAAAGTATTTTTACATTCTCATGAACAATTTTGAAAGTAAATTGTAATGAATTTAATGATTATTGGACCATTTCAGAAACCCCTAAATATTTTTGTCCATCTTTATATTCCTCTCTACAAGTCTTTGGTGTGCCAACAAGAATGTTAAGATCTCCTTCCTCTGTCTGTCTAGTGATGTCTGGTTTCTCCAACATCTTTATACGAGTTGCACAGTTCCTCTGCACCTTAAAGGGAATCTTCTGTAATTTTTAACCTGGACCTAGTTAAACCATGTTTTTGTTCTTTGTTCTCTTTTTCAAGTGAGTAATGGGGACAACGATTTTTGAAATTGGTCCAGTATTGATTAAGAATCCTGCAGCCAGCAGCCGCAAAATGCAGTTTCCTTCAGTGTAATTCCACTAAAAGTGCTTCTTTGGCCACTGACAGACTGAGAGTGTTATCATAAATGTCTGACAACATTATGGAAATGATCACTACAGTGACAGACCTTTTTGTTAAGGGGTAAGATTCTTTTTGTTTAACCAGAAACAGAAGTTAAATCGTTCCGTTCAAAGCTGATAAAAACAGTAATTTTATCTTGAAGAACGCAGGAGTTGCTGGTCTATAGCTGCCTCAGTCATTTAGTTTGTTTGTGTTATTTTGTGACTTTGGTATTTTTGAAGGGTCGGATACAAACTATAGTACATTATATGGTATGTGTAGACTTGGTTTTAGGTTAACCACCCATGTCTTCAACACTGAAAACGTACCCCTTTTGATAAAAAGAAAAAAAAGTTTTTCAATTGATTGAAAACAAATTGATCTAATGCATTATGACTGAGCATGAGTCAGCATTATGAGTTGAGTGTAACTGGGAGATAACACAAAAACTGAACAGCAGATATTTTAACTTGTCATAGCTGAATAAACACAGGTGTCTGGGTGTTCATTAAAACTAATGAGTTATTATGTTATTGATTATTTAATTCTATTTAGTTGAAGCACACTTTAATTACATGACTGTGCAGTAGATTATACTGCAGAAAGCATGAACTGAGTGAAGACAAAAATAGGCCAGTAAGTTTTATGTTTTTTTGCTGGATTTTTTAATCATAATGACTTGGTTCAAACATACTAACACTATCATAGATGTGTATCACAGCAATGTGTGCCAGATTGTGTAGCATTCAGCAGGCAAGGTGGTAAAGCAAATGTTTATTTTTTTTATTATGACTATGTACTATATACTGTTGGATGGTGGGTTGGCTGCTTGCGTTTTGTACCACTATGCCTTATTATGTGTTGGTTTCATATATACACTCAGTGGTCAATTTATTTGGTACAGCTTTTTAATACTGGGTTGGACCCCCTTTCCCCCCAGTATAGCCTAGAGATTTTCAAACCACCACGTCTGGCATCAACAGTCAATCCATGCTCATAGTCAATATAACAAGCAGATGTACAGGTGTATTTCACAAGGTGGCCACTGAGTGTATTATGGTTGTTTCTCGATAAGTTGTCTCCTGAAAGAGGAATGTGGCAGTGACATTCAGGCTCGGCCTGTTTCATGTATGGGCAGGGTTCCTTTCTCAGTTTAGTGCCTGTGCAGATCTGGTAGGAAAATGTAGCTGTTTGAAATTCAAGGACTTTAGTAACAAAGTAAACTGCACACAGAACAGTTACCAGCACTTTCTGTTCTGTGATGTACCTAGTGATGTACTAAAAGGAGAACAAGTTGCTCACTCAGCATTGTGTAGGAGACAGTTAATGTTTAACAATTTCCCATTTGGAGTGCAATTGCATTTGGAGGTTTTGCTAGATAGTCCTGTACGATACGATACGATATACTTCATTACTTTATTACTTAATTAGTCTTGGACCCAAATGCTGCACACATATAGCTACCTCCATATAGTACAGCACATGAGTTTGGGTCACGTGCAGAGCACCACCACCACTACAGCTTTAAAGAGTAGAAGAAGAAACCTTCACCTATTGCATGACCACTAGAGATTACAAAAAGGCGACTGCAGCAACATTACTTCCTTACTTCAAATGTTTAATTCACAACTCTCATAGGAGGGTAACCACGTAAAATATTTATCTTTTCTGTCAAATTAATTCTCGTCCATCCTTTTAAGAGCCGTGTGCTTGATTTTTCTCACTGGCACTTGTCCTCCTTCATATCAGAACGAGTTAGATTTGGAGTTGGAGATGGAGAGAATGTGAAAGAGCAGGAGAGAAACAGTCAGTGGCTGCAGCCTTACTCATGTGAATACCGATTTGGCTACAGCTTACCTCTGGGACGCCTGCAGCAAGCCAATTACCAAGTCTCAGTCGCAGAGAGAGAAAGACAGAAACACAGATTGACTGAAGCAAATAATACGTTTCAGCCCCAGTGCTAGCTTCAGCTCCAATTCCACCCTGTTATTCATTTAACACAAAATCTAACAGCACCTGGCCCTCTCCTCTTAAGTATTTCTCACTTCTTTGCTTCCCTCCAAGCACCTTGATTCCACAAAAGACTACAGGCTATGAGTGCAGACCCAGAAAGGGAGGAAGAAAAGGGATAAAAGCGGTTTCTAAATAATCCCATTTAACTCTGAAATGTGCACTGCTGCTTTTATTCTTGACACACATTGAGCAGGCCTGGTTCAAGCCGAGTGTGGGTTGAATTGGCAAATAGAGTAAGCAGAGAGGGAGAGAGACATGTTTTGAAATGACGCTTGAAAGGCAGCCCAGTTTGCAGCTTAGGGAATCGCTAAATGTCTGCCGGGAAAGATGGAGAGAGAGCGAGAGAGAGAGAGAAAGTGTGCGAGAGAGAGAGAGAGAGAGCGAGAGAGAGAGAGAGTGAAAGTGCGAGAGATAGGAAGAGGAGATGAAAGAGTAGAAAGAAGTCAAGCGAGCAGGGTGCTGGCAAGGTTATGAAAGGTATAGCTTGAAGGCAGGTGGGTCAATGTAGGTAAAAAAAAACTGCAGGAAGTGAAGAAAAAAGATGAAGGGAAGGATGGAGTAAAAAAGAGGTAGCCCTCTTCATACACCTCCACTCCTCAAAAAGGGAAAGAGTTGAAATGTGTGAATTCCAGAGCTGTGGAAACAGTCTGCTGTGAAATTTTTCCTCAGCCATCTCAGCAGTTTCTCTCAGCTCATTAGGAGTTAGAAAAGGTAAAGTCCAGACATGATCTATTTCTTTTTTCCCCTCCTCTTTCATCTTCTCTTCCACTCTTTTATCCCTCTTCTTCCTCCCTTTTCAAATCCACCATCTTACTAAGCTACGTTGTATGCCAGAGACTGGGTTTACATCTAGAGTTTTGCATCAAATTAATTTGATGAAACGGTACATGAAGTTGAAATTGATATTTGCCACTTGATTCCTGATATTATTTTATTTTCCTTCTGATTTTTGTTGGCTCAAAAAAAGCTGTGAGCATTGTGGGCTTGATCCAAATACATTATTTGCTTTAACAGTAACCACATGATTGAAATTATTCTTGTATGAAATGGTATTATGTAAAAAATCTTTCTGTTTCTGCCAAGGCATATGAATATGCATCTAATTTCCAATGTGGTATTCTCAGGTGAGGCAGACCTGGATGCTGTTTGTGAGGCCTGTCTGCCCTACCTCAGCTGTAGACAACCCATCAGACTGCAAGAAGCCAGCCTAAGGTGAGTCCTTATCCAAGCCCATTGCAGTGGTGTAAAGTAACTGAGTACTTGAGAACAACTTTGAGGTAATTATTTGAGTCCTTCCATTTTATGTTAATATTGTACTTTTTTCTCCACGACTATTTGAATGCTGTAGTCTATAGATACTTTGCTGAATAAGATTTTACATATGGAAACAATGACATATTCTGTTGTGTTGTGAAATTGCCCAAATTATATAAAGTAGTTAAATGTGGTTTAATCTCAATCAGTTTAAGTAAAATCAGTTTTTTAAAATACAGTAGTCATATAAGGTATTAGTTGTTCTAATCGTTCCATACTTGCCGTGGCAAGATCTCTTCTTAACTACAATTGTAAAAGCTGAGGGTCACAATCCACAGTTTGTGGTAATACAACCTGAAGGAAATTGACGGTGACGGTGAAGCTTATGGTCAAATTGCAGAACCGTGAACTGGCTGTGTTGTGCTCAGTCTGTTACTCTGGATTACAGGAAGGTGTTTTTCCATGTCATAGATATTATGCACCTTAGCAAAATACAGCCCAGAGCTAATCTTCTTCCCATGTGTCTTTCACTCCTCTCCACAGCGTTTTCCAACACTTAATCCAGGTGGATCCGGACACCTTCTGGTTTACTCTGAATGAGCTGCACTGCCCATCCTCCTACATCCCACCCCACCCCGACCTCCAGCCCGTACAGCTGAACGGAATGGGTCGGCCGAGAGACGAGTACTCGGACAATGTGCTCAAACTGCTGAGGGAGGAGTTTGGCTCGGTTGCTGAGTCAATCAATCAGCCAGTCGGTTAATGAGCTAGTGATTGATGTGATTGACTCGTCTCTCAGATGGACGGCATATTGAACCACTGTCTCCAGCAAGTCAATTAACTGAAGGAAAATCTGAGAATTGTGCCAAAAAGCAGCCATCAGATACGTTTGTGATAACCTTCATGGTGTACACCGCTCTGATAAGCAGCAAGGTACAAAGGGAAAATGTCAACGAAGCATCTCTACTGTTGTTCACGCTTCTGCTGCAAGTATATAAACCAGGAATCCTTCTGACAGGTCTTCTACATTAGGAGACATGCAGTGACAGTGTTTTTCATTTCATGCTTAGACATAGACATGTACTGTATGCAAATGTTATGTTTTCTATTCCTTTCTGTTATTTCTTGATTTTCTTAAGAAATACTTTATTCCTAACTGCCTTGTTGTTTTTTTATTATTCAACCTGTGTTCTAAACACGTGGGACTTTAATACAGATTCATTTGGCTGTTGTTGACCCCGACAGAGATTTTATTGTGACCCTGAAACATTCGTAATTGAAATAATCACCAAAATACACCAACTATTAAAAATTATTTCATTATGTGTCATGTTGCAGTTGGTGTATTCAGCACTTAAGAACAGGGCTGTCTGTCGAGCCTCAAATGTGTCTAAAGCACTGAGTATTGAAACTTTAAATGTCTAACCAGATTGGATTGGTAATCTCTTTTACTTAATCTTTAAAGGGGAACTCCACCGATTTTACACATCAACTTTACAGATTTTGGAGAGCACCGCTTCCTTTTATGGCTCCAGAGGGAGCTGTGTGAAGTCTGATAAATTGCCTTGAGTGATGTCACTTTAGTCAGCATTATCTGTGTATGCAAAGCCTAATATAACTTATTCCTCTGTGCCTAGAGCTCCTTTGGTAAAGCTATTAAAATAACGCTACACTGTTGAACTGGCAGACATATTCATTGCGATGAACAGAACATGGGCACTCTAGTTTATTTTGAGTCAATCCCAAATACAGTGTATGCTACCATAAATACATCGTAGCAAACCAAATGTTAGGACTGCTTTAACTGTATATTTATGACCTGTTTTTATTAATGTACATTTTCAGTAGGAACATGTGGGCACGGTGCCACAAACTGGTTTGGGAGTATGGGAGTCAGTTGAGTCTCAAAGTTTTACCAATACATTGTTGGTTATTAATGGAGTTTGCCTACAATAAAAAAATTGTAGAATAAAGCCAGACTCATTGCTTAAGAATAATGTGATAGGTGTAGCTATACAAAGGAAGGAGGAAATCTGTTAGCGAGGGGGTGCCCTCGCTAACCTTGCCCTGAGCTGTCTTGCCACCCACATCACACATTCTGTTGCTGGAAACTGCGTCAGCATGAAAAGTTCAGGGGGCACCAGGTTGTGTACCAATGGGGAAAGTGAACGCCCCATGACGGAGACACTAGCCAATCTATCATTGTACCTGTTATCACTCGCAGCCCTACAGAGTTCCAGGGTTGTTTAAATGAAGGAAACAGGAAGCCCCCTCCATTATCACATCACTCACTGATGGGAGAACCCGGAGCTTGCCTACCTCATCGCTCCATAATGAACGTATGAGTCTTCTAGTGTGGGGAAACAAGATCGCCACGTGTTTTGTATTAAGCTGGCCTGGCTAGCGAGCGCAGCACAGCGCCTCTTTATCTCATCCTGTGCTGTTGCTATTTATCCTGCTGCCAGTGCTGACAATAGCACCATTAGTCATCAGCAGCAATGGGAGGGGGGGCTTTGGCAGCACCTATTACACACAGGCAACTGCCTAATATCGTTTCTCCTTAATGCACATGGACAGACACACACACACACACACACACACACAGAGAGAGCAGGGGCCAAAAGTTAAACCACAGCTGACGTAGAGCTGAACCCCCACAATAACCCTTTATATATAAATGTATAATGACTGTACAGGAGGATCTAAATGAAATCTAAGCTTGTTTTTCCCTTTTCATAGATCTTAATCAACAAAGAAGCAACCACAGATTCATTGTTGTTTCATATACAATTTATTTCATTTGATAAAGCCATACACTTAGTGTGAGACCAAACATTCTAGAAGAAATGTACATTTTCCCTCTTTTTTTTAAATCGCAAACTCTTCTTTACAAAACATCAAATCAAAGTTACTCGTTTGGAAAAAAAACAATCCCAGTGATCACTCCTTCCACTAAAGCACCTTCCCAGTCTACAGGGACAGGAGCACTGTAGTTCCTCTGATGGATAATACAGCAGAGAAGTAAAGCCCCTCATGGCCTTGAGACACAGACTATATTTTGAGGCAGTACGGACAGCCAATTTCAGTGTTTCACTAACAACATTTTCCTCCTGCTCCTCGCCGCTCCAGGCTTTATCCAGTGTGTTACCCACATTCACTTTGTCCCATTTGATCCCGTCAGAGTGAAGTATTGTCTTGCGCTTCACATAAGCATCTAAGCAAAGAGATTATCGTCAGGTTACAAAATCTGCAGAAGTAAAATGACCTCTCAAACCTTTCAGACCAAGTCCCAAACTGCGTGAAATGAATCCCACATTCAAGCTCATTAAAACACAGCAACACTCATGTTAGCGGCCCTGCACATACAGTACAGTAGTTTAAGAAACACTGTTTAAGTACTAAGATACATTAGGGAAACCCCTTTTTGAGCAGCTATGAAGAGGATGTGTCATTCATCTGTCTGTACAGCACTTCTGGAGAGCAGTAAAGCAACGGAAAACTGCTTTGAAGAAAAAAGATCTCTTTTTGACAGGACTTTTAAAGTAGAAAAAAGAGATTGAGAACAGAATGGACTTTTTTTTTTCTTTCTTTTCAATGAACCAAACTAGTAAATGACAAACATGTCCTTAACTTTCACAACTAACACACTATCTTTGTATATGGTTGGTTGAAAAAGTTTTAAGAAAATTACTGAACATGCACTCACTTTATTTCTTATTATACAGTCATATATACAGAGTGGATTAGAGGCTTGTAGCGGAGTGGATTGAGGCTTTGTAAATGATTGATGAGCACTGGGCCAGAGCACTGGAATAAGGGAGCTAAGCTGGGACAGGTACAGCGCTGCTCTTCCCAGAAAGTATCTTGGACCAAGATCACATTTCTCCTATTGATTTATAGTCACAAAGCGGATTCAGAGGCACACCAAATCAGATTTTTAATTTAGTGGCACAGATTTTGATCTTTTCACAGCTTTCCAAACAGGTGGGGTCCACACGGAACAACTCGATTGATTTCTCTCAGCCTGAACAGCTGTGAATGGATCGAACCTGCGGCACAAAGGGGCGAACAAAAATCATATTTTCAGTTGCTGCTGCAAATTCATAAGCTCAAAAGCGCTGTGGGGGAAAATACAACCTGTGATGTGCTTTGTTTGAATTGGGCACAAATGTGGGAGAAATCCCACACTGCCACTGCATTTACTCCAACTTAAATGAATAGAGGCCATATCTGTCCTTGATGAGCACTGCTGTTCTGGGACCTTGATGAATTCCTGCTGAAGGAAGCCGCTTGCTTTCTCCCCGCGAGTACACAGAATAACTTGCTGAATTTCGGGTGTGTACAGATTTTGCACCATATTCATGTCCAATATTTGAATACACAAAAAGATGCACTGAAGCTAAGGAATCAGACTGGACAAGGTTCCATTCAGTGTACTTTTAGAATAAATGGAACATTTTCCTTCACAGGGCATAGACCCAGTTACAAAATGTATGACATTATAATTTGTTTCTGAGGGTGCATCAAATGACAGAGTAAGGCAGTGCAAGAAGTATGAGTGTGAAAGCAGGGTTGTGTCATTTACAGTATATAAAGTACAAGAGGAGCATGGGTTAATAGTAAGACAAGAGTCTGTTTTTGTCGGTGCAGAGAACAGAAACAGTGGAGCTGCTTAGATCTACACATCAGCCCCTCTTGCTGAATGTTGTGAGGCCAGGCCTTACAGACAGTGAGCAGCCCGAACCCATGCACAGCAAGAAAAAGCTACATTCCCAGCACAGTTTACAGCACTGTGCTCTGAATAAGCCATACTGTACATTTTTAGAGATTGTGGGTTTGTGCGCAGGCTTGCACTGTGTGGGAAGAATAGCTTTTTATGCTGTGACACGCATCATGTTATGCAATCCTTGTGTAATCTATCACTCAGGTGTAATAAGCCAGCATCTACAGCGTACAGCTTGGCTCGTTGGTGCAGTCATTGTGGCTGTGGTTACTGTCCACGTCCCTCTTCTTCAGCTCCCTGCCCGCCTTGTGCTGCTGACTGCTGCCGCTGTGGCTGTGGCCGTGGTGGGATGGCGACGAAGGCCGCTTCCCGTGCTCCTGGTGGTGCCCGTGATTCTGGTGATGGCCATGAGCGTGCTCTTTGGTGCCACCGTGAGATTCTGTGTCGTCCCCATCAGCGAATGCCACTCCTCCCTTGGTGTCGTCCAGGGACTCGAAGTTGTCGTTGTGGTTGCTGTTGATGACGTCGCTCTCCGGCACCACCTGCAGGTAGGCTCTGACGCGGTGGTGGCGGGCGCCGGCGTCATCGCTGAAGTCGATGACGCGGCACTCGTAGGTGCCTTCGTCAGATGGCTTGACCCGGGATAGGCGGAGTTTGTGGGAGATGTTGCTTCCTACGACCTTCACAACCTAGCAAAGTTAGACAAAATTAAAATAGGAAAGTGAGAAATTATGGTGAGATTGAGGAATAAATCATGCTTAATACAAGCCTGTGTAACCTTCGCTAAACAGTCGGCGCTGTGGCTACAAAACCCCTGAGTGTATTGAATTGAGCAAGTGTTTATTTTATCGGTTACTTTTCATTTGGAAGAGCAGAACTGAGCAGTTTCCTCTTTCAAAAGTTGATGTAGCTAAAACCTTGAAAAGTAAAGAAAGATGTAAAATGTTCTAATTGGCCCGACAAAAGGCAGGTAGAAAGCAGTGGAACGAAATCACCGATGACAAGTAGATTATGTTTTCCTGAAACACAGTTCCGAATATTCATTGGTTTTATTTTTTTCATGGTTATCATACCAGAATCTAACACCACTAACCCTGTACTTCACGAATAAGTGAGTGAGTGTACAGTGCAAATGTGCACTGAAGTACTGCAGGAACATCAGCTGCACTCATACTAACCATTGAATCATCAATTGAATTGCTGTTAAGCCAATGATTCCCCAGAGTCAACTATCACATCAACATTGGTTTAACATTTAAAACGCTGATGACAAGATTAATAAGCAAAACATCAGTGATAAAATCCTCAGAAGGTTTGTTTTTTGCTGACATTGTCTTGTTGTCACTGTACTTTTTCTTTGTTTTTTTCTTTTTTCTTTCTGTCTTTTATTCACAATGTCCTTCAGCCTCTTTTGTGTTTCTCCCCATCTGCCTGTCAGCATATCTTTGCAAGCCTGTCCCTCATAATCTTTGCCCTTCATTGTATATGAAGCTGAAGATGAGCCTTCAAAATGAATGCAGCATCACAGCAGATGCACAATCCTAAAAAAAAAAGGTGCAGACTTTTACTTCGTAACACACACAAACACTCATTGGCACTATCTCACAGATGCTCAGTCAGCCGAGCTGTCTGGCCATGAAGCTGGGTGAGTGGTGCTGTGAGCAAAAAGTTCACTCACTATCTCTGGCATCTACCAGCTACCACAGGCCCACTTGCAGTGACTATGGACATTGTTGGCCATATCAGGGCTCCTTTTGCTGCCTGTCTTCCATGTACAAGATGAAAAACATATTTTAGACATTAGCCATTACAGCAAACCTGGCCATTATTTAGTTTGCTCATAGGTTTTTACTTCATTGTGATTAAATTACATGATTTCATGTTTGTGTTGTGATGGGTTCTAACCTTTGCAAGGCAGCTGGCCTCACAAGATCACACGAAAATCCATCTTGTGGCAAATGTTGCACAAAAGCAAATATTGAATATATGTTGCATGAGCAAATTGTAAAAACCATATAGCACACTGTGCTAAATGTAACCATGATGCTAACAAGTAATTTGTCTATTGATACTGATCCCTTGTTTGTATGTTAAGTATGAAGCTACAGCCTGGAGACAATTAAGCGTAAAGGCTTAGGCCGTAAAGGAGGCAGAGTTTTTCAGCTTTCGACATAGACAAGCTAACTGTTTACCCCTGTTTACCACTTTTCCTTTTTGATATCCTACATGCATGCAAATTCAGTAAAAAAAACAAAAAACAAAGCTATCTCTTAGGTACTTGCCAGTTACACCCACTGAACAATTTTACAGTGATTATCTGTTTAAATACATATAAAAGGTTTATGTGTGCCCATCATAAATTAGGCTTTGCTGTAATAAGGAAAATAGGCTTATATGTAGACAGATATTTGAAGTGATAAAGAACATGAGAGCTGCAGCGTAGATGTGATGCTGAAATTACTTCTGTAGTGCAACCTGGATTCACTCCACAGCCAATCACTACCACTCACACACACTCAGACAAGGGGGCTGTTTAACAAATTCTATTTGTGGCCTTGAAAGTATGAAGAGACTACATCTTGGAGGTAAAAGCTGTGCAGGTTCACAGAGTGGCACTGCTGAGACGATGAGAGTCTGGGTACATCATGAGATGTGACGCACCAGGATATTAATACGACTTTGTTTATCATCCACCTTCCTCTCCGTGACGCCAGTAGAGGTGTGTGCGCCAGAGATAGTCCCTGCATGTGTGTGACTGTTTGTAAGAGCTTAATGTTGTTCTGTAGCAATATTCGTCAGTTTGTGTCTGCATATGTGTGAACACAGACCATGTTTCTCTTTGACTATATGGATGTGGGCCAGCATCCATTATATACAGAAAGCTCATAATGATTTTCCAGCTGTACAGCCTGCAGTGTTCTGCTCCACCCACACAAACACACACACATACATGCACTCAGTCACCCAAACCACAGCTGGTGCTTTATTACAGCGAATCAGCAGCAGCTAGCCTCTTGGGAGGAAGGAGAGAGGCTTCATGTTTTTGTGTGTTTCTGCACACACAAAGAACAATGTTTTGTTACACATCTTTATTGTTGCATATCTAATATTTGTAACTTTACATACTGTTTTATTTACTTCTTCTACATAGTTGCTTTTAAATGCAAAGATAAGCCAGCAGAATTTGTTGCTCATTTGTATAATTGTAAAGTCAGCAGATAGAGAGTTAGTAAGAGGAAAAGGTTGGTGTGAAGGTAATGTGCAGTAGTTCCTACATTCTGCTCACTTCTGCAGTTAATTAGAAGGACTTGGAGGTAGAACATTTTGAGTCACTATATGGTTGTGCTGTCTTCCTCAGTAAGTAGGGACTAAGTCTCTATGGATACCAGAAGTGATATAAAAAGTTACGCTGACTTCCCAGCCTGTCCCCTTCACTGATGATTATTTGGATTTGGTGTTGCAGCCATAAAGATCCTGGGGCATTTATGAGAATATGAAGATGATGCAGTGCAGGACATGCCCCCTTGACGAGGATACTTAACCACCCACCAGCGCCAGCGCTGCCTGCTCTTTGGCTGACACTGTGATTCTACAAACCCATCAAGGATGAAGTGAACGTGTTGATGTGTCGTCTGGAGCGCTTAGTTCGCTGCGCTAAGAGCTGTACCGAGTGAAAATTACATCCTTGTGAGTAATACAGCATAAATACAACATCTGCGGATCATCCGGAACAAGACATTTAAATGTAATCATGAGGGTTTTGTGCCTCATTTCATCATATAACACCAAAGCAAACATAAGGCTTTTCTCAAAGAATGACAGCGGATAGTGGTTAACTCACACTTATCTTTGTAGCATCCTTCGGCATATCCTCCTCAGGAGCCACCTAGAAAAAAACAACAAACATGAGTGACAGGATTTAATATTAATACATTTTAATAATTATGAATAGTTATATTGTAGTTATATACATAAAATGGGAATATATGTACAGTACCTGGACAAACTGGCTTACATACTGTGTTCTTACATGAGTGTAAACTATACATTTTAAGTCCACATTAATCCCTGCAGGTAACATGACACTAGATAACAATGTCCTAGATTAATTGAATTAATAGCTTGTTTATAGCTGTATAATGTGACAAAGATCACTCGTAGTGCTTATAATAAAATACAGCTGCAGATCTATGTATCTCTTTGGCTTATTTTAGTTTACATATGTACATTTAGTGTATGGTTCAGTCTGACTCATCAACCTCTGTATACAGCCATCATCAAACAGTACACAGACAAAGCTACCAAGTGGCTGTTAAACACATTCAAACATCTAGCAGCTGATTTTTCTCTCTTTTCTGAAGATTTAAAATGAGACTTAATATTTGACTTATTTGTCTGATGATAAGAAACCTGACTCAAAATGAATTTTGTTTGTAAAGTTTATTGTGAAATCACAGGAGATACACATATGTTGTATCCCAAACAGACACCTTAATAATGATAATTTGAGTTTCAGAACGTCTTATTTTTGTAATTCTTTCGGTTACGATAACACTGTATTCACCAGAGGTTAAGAAACACAAGTGGTCAGACAATCAATTGTACTTTATTTTGAAAGATAAACTAAATTGAGCCCAACTAAATGTTGATAATATTTGCTCACTGCACAGAAAAATGGTGTGCTCCACAACCATGGTTAATACTTTAGGTCAAAGTTGACCCAGGAAATCCATCTTTACATTTACAACTGAAACGTTTCACTTCCACCTTTATTTTCTCCAGATGTCCAAATAAGGTTGGCTAAACTGAGGGTTAGCAGGATGATGGTCTGACTGCTCATTTTTCAAGTTAAATTTTGAGTATAATAGAATTTGTTGTAATGAAGGCCAAAACTATGAAAAAGTTGTTAAAAATTAGTAGTTAGTAATTGTCCTTTAAGCTTAAGCCTGAAATAGAAGCTCCTGCTTGTGTTCATTTAAAGCTGTTACATCAGAGTTCATTATTTAACAGAAAGCATTCAGAGTTCATGTTATAAACCTACTTCATTGGTTGTCCAAGGCTGTCTGTCTGTCCAGTCAAGATGGTTCCTGATGTACCACCACTGGATCTCCAGTGAATACGAGGGTGTCCCAGCCCCTCTGAAGGAGCAGGCCATCTCCACATCCTGACCTCTCTGAGCAGTCATATCATGAGGCACCTCTGTGAACATAGCTGGACAGACACAGAATGAGACACGGTTTATAAATGGTGTCTAGTCAGTGGCATTCAGTGCAGTTTGAAGACAAAGTGTAAAGATTATAGCCCTACAGTGCTAAAACATTTTTTGAAAGCTGATATAAATATTTTTGGTATCAGCTTGGTTAAAGCTGATCTCCATGGAGGAGATGGTGTTGCTTCAGAGGAATTCTCACTTGAAGATGTAAAAATTGTAGCAGCCCCTTAAAACAAAATAAGATAGGATTCATCGTCATCTAGTAATGAAAACCTGGTAATGGTAAAGGTTTACGATGGTGAAACTGATGAAAATGGGGGAGGTATGTGGGTTAAAGAGAGTGAGGGAGAGGATAAAGCGTGCTAAATTAAAAAGTAAAAAGTCAAATGAAAGTAACGAAAGTAAATAAAAGTAAAATGTCAAAAGCCAAAGACTGTAAAGGGAAAAGAACAACTGTTACAGGAATGCTGTTTTACCCATTTGTTTGCCGTTCACTTTACATTCCAGGTAGTTGAAAAGTTTTTCATTTTGATTATTCACTTTCTTGCTGAGAAGATTGATGCCACTCTTGCATTAGGAGCACGCACTAATACTGAGCAGTTGTATGCATCAGCATTCATAAAGAGCCCTTTTCATGCTAAGTTAATATATTAGGGCTAAACAGGTCTAGAGCAAAATGATCAGTCCACAAGGCTGGGGCTGTAATGCTGAATTACAGGAACAATTAGTACTATTACGTTTCATATTAGGGGTGGTTTGAAAGTGTTATTGATCAATGCAAGAGACATTGCCGTTTCTTTAATTCAGGTTCATTTGCTCAAGGAGGCCCCAGGGACCTTAAAAAAAATGTGCTTACCCTGGCAACTGGTCACTTTTATTTCACACTGCGTTTGGGTGAAAAATAAATCATATTTGTATTTCTTTCACTGCCTTTTAACATTTTTAAAACTGGTTTGCTGGCACATCCAACTGGTAAGGGTAGACCCAGAACATGCTGGAGAGATTACATATCCCCCAAGAAGAGCTGGAAAATGTTGTTGGGGAAAGGGATGTCTTGACTACCTTGCTTAGCGTGCTAGAGTTTAGAGTAGAGTTTTGGACAAACCATGAGACCAATAATGAAGTCACTTTGGCTAACATTGGTGACCCCACATAGCAAACAATAGAGCAGTGTGTAGCACTGCACGCACATTCTGTAATTTGCTACTGGTATCAAAGTGTGAAGTGTTAGATTCAGGTGCAGCAGGGGCTAAATTTAAACTCACACTTTAAACACTTTGGTCTCCACGAAGCAGCACAGTGCCATTAAAACAAAACCCAACAGACCAGCTGTCATCCTCTCAACGCACCAGGGGGAAGTGTGGATATTAGTTTAAAGGAAGGCATAAATCTCCTTTGCGCATGAATATTCAGTAGCATTTATAAAAAGGGAAAGTTAAATCTATTGTTTCATGTTAAACAATAGGTAAAAAAGAGCCACCAGCACATTACATTGTGCTGTATTTTGCTGCAGTGCTTATTGGTCTTTATGTTAGCTTTATAAAAAATACCTTTAGGTCCAGTGTTAGAATGAGATCTTTTTATCTACAGACGCTGCCGGCCGCCTTCTATGAACCGACATGTTTCTACAGTAGCTCAGAACAAAGCAAACACTGGCTCTAGATTCCTGATTTTGAGCGTTTCGTGGGCACCATAGTTTCTCCTTCTGACATAAAAAGGGGAGGGTGAACTTTTAAGATTTGTTGGGGCTGTTAAATTCCAACAAAACAAGAAAAAAAAGAAAGAAAAAAAAGAATCAAATTAAAGAAAAAAATGCAAATTGACAAATTACCAGAGAATAAAGAAACCCAAGAGTGTAAAACAGTGCCAAATACATCAGAATTAGCCATGCCAGGCAGAAATATGTTAATCACAGGCCTTAACCATCAAAAGGTAATTACATGGATTAATGTAGTATTAATTGTTACCATGGTACACAATTTGTCAGTTTTCCATTAGTTGTTACAACTTGTACTGTAAACTCATGTATCATGAAACACGACCCAGGTCACAAGCGATATTTACACACCAGTTGGTTTTCACTTTTATTGACAAGGATCATTTAAATGCTCCATTGAGTTGTGAGACTATCCCTTTAGGGAAGGTAGCTTGGAGGATTCAGCCCTTTAACTGGGACATATCTGGAGTGACAGCTGTGTTTCAGTCTGTCTCAGGCTCAAGCTGGATGTCAGTTATCATTTTGTGGACACTGTTATCCAAATTGTTTTACAGTATCATGAGTGGACTGATTTTTTTTGGATTCTCTAAATTTGTCAGCTTGTAAATAATCAGTGAGCACTGCAGGAACAGAAAATCCTCTAACCTGCAAAACTTGAATTCCATTTTTCTTTTTATATTTTCTGCAACGTAACAGCATTTTTTTTGCCAGACGTTTCTCATCATTCACATAGAACCACAGACTCAAGTGTGACTGTCAAATCAAAAGTGAGTCTGTTCTTTTGTGTCAGCTCAACAGGGCATTATTTAATATGAGAATGCATCTTTTTAGGAATGTGACTGCCATTGCTTTGTTAAAATTTAACGTAATGTACCATTGACTAAACAAATTGCAATATAATGGCACAGTTGACTTCCTGAGTCGTTTGCTGTAAATATGAATTTCTTAAGGATAAAATTTCATTCTTGACTTTAGAAACAATAGTAATCAAAACTAAAGGTCCATTTGCTGATTTTTGTGGAGCTTTTCACCAGATATTAGTCTTGCTCAGCATGTGGTATTCAAACTAGCATTTTCATCAGGATGACACCACTGTCCTACTTACCAAGGTCATCATGCATCAACTCTCCAGAGGAGCAGCAATCTTATCATATTATACATATCATTAAAAAGTTACATAGTATAACAGTGCAATTTCAATTGATTTTAAATAGTTTTAAACAATCATTGAGTGGCCAGGAGAAAATGTTCTGACATCAACTATTACAACAAAATGACACCTCCTCTCTTACTTGTAAACTCTCCACTGACACCTGGACTAAAGTTTCTTTAAAGATCCCCTCCAGACAGGTATTGAGACATATATACAAAACGTCTTCTTGGAACAATAATGTGTGTCTGATATGTTTTTTTCTGCAATAAGTATAATTTTCACATTAGAATCCATTAAAAAGGTTTCTACATCACACTTGTATAAATTGCATGGGTTGACCTCCAACTATTTGTGATGTCACAAATCATGCTTGTAGGCCCCGCCCCTTAAAATCTGATTTTCAATGAGAACAGAGACACTTTCCACTTTCAGCAGATGAATGTGAAAACATCCTTCTAGTGTCAAACTATTATTCTGCACAGTGAAACTGAAACATCCAAAACATCTTTTGAGTAGAGGGAGACTTTAAGGTTAGTACTGTAGGTAGTGATCCACCACACAGCTCTGTGCAACTCTTTGATATAGTGCACAAAGAGATATAGTACAGTAATGATGGATTTACGAAAAGCACCACTGGACATTTTAATAAATTATTAAAACAAATGAAAAGAAAATGTCATGTTGAACCGCTCTCATATAAGGTGGATGACATTTACCAGTATTTGTTTTATCATTAATAATATGAACTGCAATTTCAATTCTGTGACTGTCACAATATTTTCCACTCATCATGTGGGAATTCCCCTTGAAACGAGAAGATGAGATGTGCTCTTGGGAAATCCTGTGTCACAGATGAAGAGTTTTAAACCAAACTGAAATCAGCGCCTTGTGATTTCCTGGTTCCTTAAAGTAAAACCTGCTGTTTAATGTTACTGATGGTTATTTGCCATTTATCTACTTTTCCCACATAGAAGAGTGACACTGTGTGTGTTTTTCATAACTGAGCTATTCAAAAGCAAGTGCAAGTCCTTCTGTAAACTTTCAAATTTCTTAACTTTTGCCAAGTGCCCCTATACTCATAGATTTGTCTGGCTTCTCCAGTCAATAAGAGTGAGTCAAACTTGCACCAGCTAAGTGCCGATTTTCATCTGGCTTCATAGATTAACCTGGACTGAGGCTGCGCTATGGATCTGTCTTGTATTACAAGAGCAGTACAAGCCTCAAGTCATACATCCCTCTTGTACATTGATCAAATCTGCTTGTATTTTTCATTTGTGAAACCCGAAACGCACCAGGTATCGATTTGACATTACACAGCCGGAGCCAGCAACAATGCCCACAGCTCTTCTCTTGTTCATAATATTCAAAGCTGGGACAGGAAAAAAACTGCTGTGTAAGAGATAGAGACTCTCAAAGTTGCTCTCAGCTATGATAATCTATCTTTTCCCACTTAGCTGTGCAGGCAACAACGCAAAATCCATGCACATTTCTGACCTAATGCCTCACACATTTGGTCACCACGGGAAAATGTGATAGTCATCAGCAGTCCATTATAATGTAGGAGAGACAGTTCTCACACTGAACAATTTACAAAATCCACAAAGCAAATGCTAATCTCATCATCTGACATGCTGTCTGTACCTTTAAGTAAAACATATTTTTCTATATTGTAATCATTTCAGCACATGTGATACTTAAAATGCTTTTACTGTAAAACGAAATGTCACAAAAAAAGTCTCAGATTACCATTTGAAATGTAATTATTATCTTCTGCTGCTCTGCAAATCTATATTGCATTGATTCTGGTGTGACAATGACTCAAACATGTGTCTATCTAATGCTGTATCTCTTAGTAATAGTCATCTCTAATGTCCACACTCTCATTGTTGAGGCCATAAAAGGCTGCGATGAGTTGGGTCTGCTCACCCTGAAGCATTATCATTATCTCCAAGATAAACAGTGGAAGGCTCTCAGGCGATTGCTGCAAATCAGTGCTCGAAAGCTACAGTGCGGCAGCCAAGTCAGACTCCGTGTCAACCCATTTGCCCCGGGAGGAAGAGGAGATGGACGGCGAAATGAGAGTGAGAGTGTTCACGAGATCAAGAAACTCTGTATGTGTTTGTGCGATG